GTAACAGCACCAACGAAAATGTAATCAAGACTTGTCACGGCGACAAAAGAAGAAGGATCTCGCCGAGCTAATAACAAAGCAGCATCGCTGACGTTCAGGATATTAAAAAACGCGTCCTCATCATTTCGTCCTTCGTCGAAAAAGGAGGGGGATAAGAAGAGGCTTGGTCCCGTTGGCACACATTCTATGCCTACCTACATTCTAAATTCTATATTCTAGATATTATTCCTCTCAAAATATGACTCGTAAAACACAAGGAAGTTTATATTTACTAATAGGATGTTGCGTGAATGATAGGGAACTTACATTGACGTATTGTACAGGATGTCCTAACAATTATAGGTACATATCTATGTAATAAAATAATATTAATTCAGTCCAATTGTACGGCTAGTCCATAATTTACTGTTCAAAGAAATTAATTGTTAGAGGTTCAATTGGGTAATAATTTTATTCAAAAATTTTTAGTGGATAAAAAATTTAATAATCTGATGATGTTTAGGTACCTAAATATTACCTATATTTTTTGTTTATTTATTATTAGATAACATTAAATTTAAACCTACAGTAAGTTTAATCTAACAAAAGTCTAAAATCAATTAGAACTGACTTTCATACATATACTTTCATATGATTTAAAACATTAGAGATTTGATAATAGAGATTTTGTTAGACACATTTTACAAGAACAATAATTGACATTTTTTCATTCTACAACTGACCGTTATTAGGAACTGGCATTAATTGATTCAATTTGCTTTGGTAACCTACTAAAACATGAATATTAAAGGTAGATATGTGCCTATCATGGAAAAATCGAGACAATTTCAATAGTCCAGGTAGCCCTAATACACGAGAGTAGGTAGCATGTGTTCAACGCTATTCTAGTGTAAACGTATCGATCTTTAAAGTACATACAGTCTCGGTTAGCCGAGGAGTCTTCACTATTGGATGGGTATTCAAGCAGGCACACAAATATATGTAGGTATATAAAAAAAACAAATAGCAAATAGAACTGCGGCCGTCTTAGATTGCCCGCTTTCCTCGATATTAGTTTGAGATGTTTTTGAATCGGAAATTCCACCAGAAACGGACTAGGTTACAATCATGTTTGAGGGCCTTCCATTGTAAATATTAATACATGTTTTTATACATACTACTGTAATAACTCTCGAGTGTTCTTCAACATATACTCCTTTTGAAGCAATGCACATAGTCAGACGTCTTTTCCAATCATCTAACACCATTCTCTAACACTAGTATGATGATTTTCGAACTCAATTTCCTTTATTTTCTCGATATTATCATTGGTTGAAGAGGTCAAAAACCGTCCGAAAGTCTTTACCGATCTCACGACTGTCTTTAAAAGTTTTGTATCATTCGTAAATATGGGTTTTCGATAAAACAGAGTCACCTTAAGCATCTGCATCGATTCGGCAAACGAAATTCCGTTCAAAACCCAAAATATGAGACAAACTTTTTTGCATGCTAATTAAGAACAGAGTTGCCTACATACAGAAGCTTGAAATAGTTAAAAATATAAAGTACAAGTAATTTAAATCAGGATTTCCGGGTACTCTTTTGTCAGAAGGTATAGCTACCTAATATCTAAGGTACAGTTAAGTAAACAATTTTAATAAAATGCCCCAATTGGATTTTGAGTTATATTGGATAAACGAGCAGAGGCTCAATTAAATTCCATTTTGGAGCCGAGGAAACAAATTGACAGATCCTTTGATTAATTACGAACGTTCGGCCTGCAAAAACCGATGATTTGTAAAAGAAATAAAGCGAAATCACGTCGCCCGCCGAAGAAACTTGTTTTAATTTCATCGATTTCAGATTAATAACCGAGCTTTTATATTCCTCTAGCAAACCGGAATTTAAAACTCGCCGAAACTTTTAACTAAACTTTTTTCATGCCGAACATATTTTGCGAAGCGCCGAAGAATGGCAGTTAATTTAAATAAGCTTAATACAGCAATTATGCAAGAAAGCATAATAACTAATTTTTCCTGACGATATTTTTACAAACATTTTTCACTCCCGAGAATGTACATACATACATTATTATTCGATTTAAACACCTTTGAATTGGGTAGAGGTATAAGTTGTACATAATAACATGATATACTAACAGAACCCCAGAGGTGTTATTTAGGACCATCTGGAGATATAATAGACTACCGTCTTATTGAATCACGCGTTCGAACAGCCCCGGCATAGCAATAGCATGGACGATAAGTTACAGATCAAGCTTGTCATAGATAACCGTTTCTGTCTGATGGGACTTGTTGTCTGTCCGTCATTTTGTCCGTTTTCTTGTTTGACGCACCCTTTGATTTCCGTAATCAGGAGACTACAGAATGCTTCATTGTTCGAGCCAGTTTCGATAAATAAATGCTCCTACCATAGACATCTCTACGCGTAACTTAAACATTTGGAACAATGTTCAGTTGCGCCTGTTTGTTAACACATAGAGAAGTATGTACAATAATTGCAGTTACTCTTCTTTTAGAGAAAAGAAGCTTCCGGCGTTTCCGTAAGACATTTATCTAAAATGTTGTTACATATTTACAGCTCACTAATCCTTTTGCGGTCGACTGTACTAAAACGCAAGTAGCCATGGTAACGCATCACCACCGGTAGATGAATGCCTGTCGATACAGAATTGCGGGAACGTAAGCATTTTTGATGCATCTATACAATCCTTTCATCTATCCCACTTATGATTATTACCGAACAGAGGTTTAGCAAATGCGACTATTTGGAATAAATTGGTTTCAGAGTCCGTTTTAAGTTTGCTGTAACAATGCTGTTTTCGATGTATCAAGTATCTAATTAATTAATTGTTAACCCTTAACAAACATAGATTATAGGAATTTACAACGGTTCTATAGCTGGATATTAAACTATGTTACAATTGATTTATTAAATGAATTTCAGTAAATGTGCCTACAGGTACGACAAATGTCCTACGTGCAATACTTTTGAACTAATCGACAATGTTAATACTTATTCTTTTGTTTCAAAAACTTGTAAAATTCTTTGAGTAGTTGTTCTTCTTCCTGGTTTATTGTTTTAGTATTCACCTGCGGGTGGTTGATTTCCAGTTCAGGAACTACATTATATCCTCTTTTACCATATCTAAAAGAAATACGATATTTTTAGAATCTATTAAATTTTTCTACGACACAATAATATTCATGCTACTTGCCTTCCAGTTATATGGTACGCCTGTATACATCTCATTCTTTCCCCTAGGTTTTCGTAAAATGAACAATCAGCTGTTTCCACTAATATGGCTTTAGGTGTCACCAAGATGATAAAATAAATGCAGAACAACCAGAAAGTTTTCATCCTTGTTAAACCGATATCTAAAAAATAAGGATATGGGATTTAATAAATTCGTCAAGCGCTTTAATAGCAACTGCCTTAGCAACACATTGTTATAAAAATGACTACCACAGAAATGAAACAACCACAAAATCGATTGAAACTTAAAATTTGTACCTCCACCAACAGTCTAGTACCTGACAATAAAAGTTCCCAAAAAGTATAACTTTCAAATCTAACTACAATCAACCTTCACACTTCCGAACTGATCGACCTAAATTTGTTAGTAAACTGTATAATTATCGGCAATTACAGGAATATATAGAATCCCGTTGTTGTTATAACTAAATCCTACTCGATTGTTATCTCAAAATGTTTGTAAAGGGATATAAAAATTTCGAGGAAATACCTAAAAGGGATAGGGTATTAACCAACACCTACTTACGGTCAGTATGTACAGGGTGTCCAAAATAGTGGTGAAACTAAAAGTCTATTTTTATATTCTTTTCACTGAACTTACGCGGGTAAGCAAAAATTATTTATCATCAGAATCATTTAGAATTGTCTAGAACAATCTGGAATGATCCACAAACATTTAAAGTGAACCATTTAGAACTGTCTAGAACCATTTAGAACGCTCCAGTGTCATCAAGAACTGTCTAGATCAATCTAGAACGCTCCAGAATCATTTAGAACTGTCTAGAACAATCTGGTATGATCCAGAAACATTTAAACAGTCTTGAACCATTTAGAACTATCTAGAACCATTTAGAACGCTCCAGGGTCATCAAGAACTGTATAGAATCATTTAGAACTGGCTAAATCAATCTAGAACGCTCCAGAATCATTTAGAAACATTTAGACTCGTTTTGACAAGTTTGACGAAATCGCTAATCTCTGTAAGTACCACTTACTTTATTTATCCGAACTTACTAATTGATTATTGGAATAAATTTATTGGATACGTGTTTTTTCAATTTTTCATTCGGTTCTTAATTTTCCTGAAAATCGACCGTTTCCATACTTTTTGGACACCCTGTATATCTATCAATTGATCGATCGATTAATGCTCTTAGTACACCATACTCATAACGTACAACAAATGCAGTTGTTTTAAGTTTGAGTATTACTGAGATATATTTTTTCATTTCTAACGCTACTTTGAAGGTCTATAACTTCTCAGGAATGTAACTTTGTATTAAGTTAAATTGGATTAAACAACATTTTGGAATCTTCCACACGTCCCTGCTTTGTGTCGGTTCTTATGCGGGTCACTCTGTATTATTGATGCAAGATTTTCATAAGTTTGTCGTAACCATTACATAACGGTGTCGATACCTTTTAATATGGTTGTGACAAGCTTTTTAAAAGCTTTATGGAAAGTTTACAAACGCTTGTCGTGACAAGGTTAATACAAGCTTGTTACATGCTGAAATAGCTATCTGGGGTAACGTTATGTTTATCTAGCTTTTAGACAAAAACCTGTTGCGTTGTTGCATATGTTCAAAAAAAAAACTACCTACTTATTTGCAAAATGATTATACGCCCATTTTATTGTGCAAATTGATTAATCCCAACCGTATGGAGCTAAACTACCGCTAAATGGGGGCCGAGACAAAAGAAAAACATATTAGAATTAACGGATTAATTTTATTATTGATGGCATATTTTTATCAGCAAGTAAATCCCTAAATTATACGCAAAACATTGTCATAGCGGTAACCCACAAATGTTTAATGAGTTTAATATTGGATATTTTCGTTTTTTTTAGTTTGCTCAAATAAAAAAATTCAAATTCATGAAATTTATATTAGCAAATATGTTTACAATATAATCAATTCAATGAGTTGAACAAACAAAGATTATTAAAATAATAATGGTTAGAGTGAGAAAGTTGCATTCCCACAATATTCACTCTTTCTACAATATTGCACTTATGTGCATATGTAATGTGGTTAATGATTACAACAGTATTTTATTATATTATATTTTAATTAGAAACGTAAAACTCTGCACCTAATTTACAATGTCTAAAAAACCAATAAAATCCTTTATAAATGTAAACATTCGAAACAAATTATTCTTTTTTATCGATGATTCAACAATATATTAAAATAAATACTATTTACATTTACATCTTAATATCACAACCAACAGTCTGGTTTTCTAGTACAAATAGTTTATCAAGATTATTATGTTATTTGGAAGCACATTTTGATTCGTTTACAGAATATCTAATCTATAATCTGGTATTATAAATTTATATTCAACATTGATTGTGAAAAAATACTTAATAATTTCAATATAATACTCATAAATACTCTATAAAAATCATCTCTTATAATATAAATAATCTACATAAGATCTAATTTAAAAGTTCGAGAAAATATTGAATTAAGCATCATGATGTATGATGATGATGATGGTAAGATTCCGGATGTTCTGCTATATAAAATACATATACTACTGGTAGAGCAACAATCACAATTACTATACATGCTAGAAGGACCTTCCATGATATGTCTGCATCGGCTCCATTACAACTGATTAGGGAGATAACCTGTAAATTAAAATTTCATTAGTATATTGGATTATTATTGTTATAAATTAATAATAAAACATAAAATTAGCCAATTTTTGTACCTTTTGAATATTTTTAGACAAATTTAAATGATAACATTTATAGTTAATTTTAAATATCATTAAATATGTCATACAACAATAATTTTTTACATACTCCAGCTTCTGCTCACAATTAACTTAGTCTTGACTGTACAGAAATTACAGTGCAGAAATAGAAAAACTTACTGGATCACTTTCTGTAGATGTACCAACATCTTCTACGAGTAAATTAGTTCTCTCATCACAGCTTGCTTCAGGCACCCGAGGATTTGTTACACTGACTTGATTTGGTATAATTTGACTATTAAAAATGATTTCGTTAACTTGATTCTCTTCTTTTGGAGTATTCAAAGTTTCTGTTAATTTCGAACTTAAAGATTCTATGTCTATTAGATTACTGGTAGAAACTGCTTCATTGACATCGGGTGAGCTATCACCGCTAATATGAACACTAGCTAGGGCCGAAGTAAAAGGTCTGTGTGGTACTTTTATCACTCTTTTAGCAAATATTTCATTCTCGTTAAGGAAATTGTTTATTCGTTTCAATTGAGCTACCTGTAAATTAGATAATTTAATTAAACATATTTGAGAGATTATTATGGTTTAAATCGTACCGAACAATGATATTTAATTGCTATAGCCTGCAAAGTGTCCCCTTCTTCTACAGCTTTGTCTATTGTTGGAAATTCTATTCTCTGTGGCTTATTAACTACAAACAACTCCGTCTCCTCGCCACTATCACTTCCATTGTCTTTGCCATTTAAATTTTTGTAATCGTATTTCTTCCTAAAAAATCAATTAAATTCAATCATCGATAATTCAATCATTTCGTTAGTTAAAATATAATTAATGATCTTACTACGCACTTTGGCCTGTGTTTTACCATTTTAGTGGCATACGTTGTTGACAACTCATTTGTTTAGATTTTTGAGATCGAGGTTATGTCGACACCAATATGTCACGTCACTGTTATTGCATGTCAAATGTCATGTCAAATGCCAAAATGTTGATTATTTTTTATTTTTTAAATTAAATAATTTACAATCGATTATTGTAGATTTCTAAAAAGTTCGTATAATTTTCTTAAATTACATTTATAGTAAAATGGAGCAAATTAGATGTACGAGTAAAAAAAATTATCACTAAAAAACTGCTTCAGTCAGGTTAGCCAATTTCAAAAGTCACCAAAATCACTGGCATTTTTTTATAATCATTTTTATAACTAGTTTCTAGTTTCTCCGTTCCCTGAACTCGCCTAAGTCGACTCGACTTGTTCATTTATTAAAGTTCGTGTCTTATTTTTAATTATATTTGTGATTTAGATTTACAAAATTTGTGTTTTCGTTTGAATAGATTATATTTATTACTTTACCAGTCTTAGGGTAAGTTAATAGTATCGTTTTTATTCTTGTTAAAGTTCATGCGAATATCCCGGTAGTTCCTGTATCAATAATTGCTACGTGGCTAAGTATTTATTTAATCCAAAATGTTAAATTAAATTGTTCATTAGGATTAATATGCACAGATAAACGTATTATCTACTTACATTTTTACAGATTTACCTAATATTATGGCCTATAACTGAGCACACCTTCCCATTATTACTTAAATATTAATTGTTTATGTGCTTTGTAAAATTGAAATTTTCTGTTTACACCTACTCCAATTTGAACTACAAAAGTATTTCTTTAACTGGAAACATATTTTTTTGTTTCAGAAAAAAATGGATTTAAATCTACTAATATTTGCAGCATTGTTTGTCATTGCCTCTTTTTCCTTATTCCTAATTTACAAATTCGGCATTAAAGAAAAAAGTTACGAGGAAGCCTTAGCGGAACAACGCCTACAAACTAATGCTTTATTAGGTACTAAGTCTAAAACTAAAGACAAGAAGAGCAAGAAAGCTTCCAAGAAGGTAAGTAATGCAAAGTTTAATTCATTATAATGCAGATGTGGTATTTAAAAGGAGGGTTTTTAATGATTTAATGAGGGTGTTTCTTATTTGAACATAGTAGTTACATTATAGATATAGATTGTACATTGTTGTACCAAATTGTATTAGAACCAAATTAACAAATTGGATAAAATGAGATCCATAGAGATCTGCAGACAGCGACAAATTGTTATCTTATTGTTAGTGTAATCTCTTTTATATTGTTTGGGTGGAAATACACATTTATAAATAGCTGATTGCGTTGTTGGTTGGATTACAAGATGCAGTAAAATATTATTACTTTTACCAAATTTTGAGTTTCAAAAATTTTACACAAATGAAGATTATGAATAAGTCCCTTGTCTAATTTGCTGTCTAAAGAAATCTCATCTGATCTGAACCAAAAGTCAACCTCCTTAGAGGAAATAAGGTATTTTTATAATCACATTTAAGACCTATTTAACCTTGATTTTAATACTATACCCTATGTTGCAAATTTTTTAATTGTAACAATTCTGTAAATAAAATACTTAAAATGCAATCACTTATCATTTCTGATATTGTTATTGCTACTACAGCTTAATCCCGATTAGGATATTCAATTCATCAATTTAAATCGTAATTTATGAAGTTTGTAAAATTAATTAAAGTTTTTATCAAGCGGACTATATTTTTTGTTAATATGTTTACAGTGAATTGATACAGTATATCCTAATGCAATAATCCTTATCAAATCTATTTTTCTTAAGTCAATATTTTGAACTAATTTATTGTTTTAAATGGTTTGTAAATAAATGTAGAAAAGTTCCAAGAATCTGTATTTTACTTGTTTTTAAAAATATTAATAAGTTTTTCTAATACTTAACAACAATAAATTAATATTCTCACAAAAATTGCAGAACTTTAACTATTTAGCCTCAAGAAATATCAGTAATGATGTAGAAACTAAACAAATCTTATTCCTTTTTTAAATAATTTCCTTAAAACTTGCTTCAATATTTATTAAATTTGGCCTTTCCATATTGCCTTAGAATTTTTATATGGGTAGGTGTAATTTTGTTTGCAATATGCTCAATTTTATGGGTTAAACAAAGAAAAATTAGATAAATAACAGTGGTTAGAGCACTCACAGCCTATACAGTGTGTCTATTATAAAAACCGCCAAACTTCAAGAGGTGATTATACGAGTAATTTCGAACCAAAAATGTCCTACAACATTTTTTCGAAAAGTTGATAGTTTTTCTTTTATTTAACATTTCAGGGTTTTTTCCAAAAAGACTGAAATATTACTTTTATTTATGTAGTTGCATTAATTTTGATCACATATCGTAGTGCATTAAATTTGCTATAAAAAAAGTATTTATCAGTTTTAAAAAAAGTTCAGTACCGGGTGTAATAAAAGGTTTAATTGGTTTAATTGTTTATTGTTCATAATTGGTTTAATTATGAAATGAACGTAATTATATTTAATGGTCGTAAATCCAAAATTTAGTGTCAAACTTGTTCAAAATTACTTGTATTTACTCATCTCCTGAAGTTTGGACGTTAATATAGTAAACTAGACACACTGCATAGCAAACAATTTTGCATCTACCTTTATACTTGTAATTGTTTCCAAACAAGCTGTTTATCAAAAACCTTTACATACAAATATTTATTTTATTTGCATATAATTTTTTAGATCAAAGAGAAGGCAGAGAAAATTGAAAAGGATGAAGTTGAGAACAGTGAAAATAAAGAAAGTGCTCAGCCCTCCAAGCCTCACGTTGAGTTTAAGGAAGAAACTGAAGAAGTTCCCATCAAAGAAACTTTGGATATACCCCTTGCTAAAGAAGTAACTAAAGTAAGTTCACAAATCTATACTATTGCAATTTCATTTACACATCAACAATTTTAATATTACAATATATTTAAATCTCTTTACTCTCGTACGAATCCCACAAATTTACATATTAAAAATTAATATTTGGCAACTACTTTCTCAGCCACACAACTAATCAAAGCACTAATTGTCCCATGGACAATTAACGGAATGTGAAAATTGAGTGTTTGCTTGAATTTCAGCCTAAAAAAAATAAAAAAGTTCGTCCTATATTGGTGAATAGAAGAGAGAAGTCTCCTGTAAGGCCTGATTTAAATACATCGATTGTTAATCATTTCGAGGAAAATCCCCCGAAAGACGATTTTGAGTTATTAAAGACTAATAATGTAAGTGTGTTGAAGTGTGTGTGTTTGTATGTGCAAGTAGTTAAATGTCTTGTCTGAGATCTAGTTATAGATATTATTAGCTTTATTATGATTCTTCAATTCATATAAATTCTTCTCTTTATTATGGATTGGAAAGAGATGATCAAATTGCATGAAAAATCATTAACCTTTATGTAATAAAATATTACTTCTAAATAACAATTCATGTGTTTTATGCTGATATTTCTTCGTAAAAGTATACTTATCAAAAATACATTCATTATAGAAAGAGGAAGTGGCAAAACCTAAACCAATTAAAGAAAAAAAGCAAGTCCAAGAAGTTTCTCCCCCCATCAGTGGCAATAAAACTAAAAAGAACGCTAAACCAGTATCGGCGGATCCTCCCAAATCTGAACCAGCTTCTGTTGCACCTCTTCCCGAAGGAAAGGTTGTAATCGAGGTAACCCCAGCTTCGCCTCCTCTTAACGGGGTTGTTGCCGTTGGCAACGTCGGTAAAGAGAAGAAGAAAAAGAAAAGTGAATTTAATACCAAACAGCAGTTGTGTAAGTAAAAACTAAGCATTTTTCTGATCAACAAAGGTACATTATTAACGATTGTTGTAAATTAGAGGAGTATCTTCCTTTATTCTTTGCTCGTACGCCATTTAATTTTAATAATGTTAATTCATGCAGCTGCAGAAAGGGATGAACTAATAAATTCGGTGCGTAAAGCTGAATTGTCTAAGACTGAGATTCAATTGCTCATTGATCTATTACTCAACAAGCAGCTCGAGGCGCCCGCTGTCATCGATGAATGGAGTGAGGTAATCTTATTATAAATACCATTTAACTATCAGTTATATATTTAACTTTTATCTCTTTACATTCCTCTCATATTGACAATTTTATGCGCAGGGCAAATCTGATCCCATTCAGAAGCTGAAGAAGCAACTATCAGAAAAAGAGAAGTTATTGACCGAAGAACAAGAAGCGCTCGCAGGCGCCCAGCAGAAATTGCGAGAGATTCGATCCGAACAACAAACAGAGAAGGTATGTATGAGCCTTTTGAATTTAATAGGTTAAAGTGAGATGGTACGTTCTAATACAAATTCCAATTTACAGTTACAACTTCAACAAAAAATTCGAAGCCTAGAGGAAATTGTCCAAGCAAAGCAAATCGAAATTCAAGCTACCAATAATCGGTTCCAAGTCAACGCTCAAAAAATCCAGCAATTGCAAACCGAACTCAACACGGAGATTATGAAAGCTCGCAAACTTTTGGACGATAATAATCAACTGCAATTGCAACTGAAGCAATATGAAGTGAATAATATGTCGCAATTGCAAGAGGTACGTAATTATAAGCTTTTTTTTAAGTGTTATAATATCAACTTTTTTTAGGCTGACGGTCGTCTGAATACTTTACGAATGGAATTCGAAGAAATCACCAACCAAAATCAGCATTTGCAGCAAGTGATTGCAGAGAAAGATCATCACTTTATGATCCAGATGAACACCATAGAAAAAGGCTACAAGGTAAGCTTCAATTCCGCTTTAAAGACGCCACTAAATCATTTTTTTCGCGTAGGATTCGCACCAAGAAACGGAAAGACGAATTGAAATGCTCTTGAGGCAGGAGGCCGAGTGGAAACGCGAAATTGCCAATCTCAATTCGACCAAGCAAAAACAATTCGAAGAACAACGCAAATTAGAACACTCTCTGAACCAGTTGAACGAGCAATTGCGTCTGATTAACAACGAAAAATCGCAGGTATAACGAAATCAATTCAATTTAAATTCAAGCCAAATTTTATTCTTACTAAAATTACTGAACCTATGTTTTCCCATTTAAAAATACCCCGAATTGGCGCCCTTAAGCAATGAATGTTTTTCTGTTTAGCTAAAATCCGAATTGCAACAAGCTAAGGAAGAGCTATACCACTTGGGCCATTTGTCGGAGGGAAAAAACAATCAAGAAGTTGAAATATTGAATTTGAGTAACGAATTATCGTCTACTAGAAACGAATTGTCATCTAGAATAGAAGAGTTGCAACAGACCGAAAAGAAATACAAAACGGAGTTGGAGTCGTCTAATAAGAAATATTCGTTGGCGCAGAAGGAACTGGAGGAACAAAAAACTAAAAACGACGTAAGAATGTTGAACTGTTTTGTTTGTGTAAATTTGACGTTTTAATTTTGTGTGATAATATACAGGAATTACGCAAAAAGAACTGGAAAGTGATGGAGGCGTTAAAAGCCGCGGAAAACAGGGATAATAAAGCATCTACTGCCATCACTTCGGACTTAGATATTAATGTAAGTAAATTTTCTTGCATCACTTTCCATTTCGAAGGAATCGAGTAAGCGGTTATAAAATAATCCCATTTTCAATATTTCCTAATTTATAATATAATTTGGTGATTGTTGGTGATAAACTCTAATATAATAATTTTTGCTCTTCCTGAAATTTCCTTCTTCATTTTAGAGACTAAAAGAAGAACTTCTTAGTAAGCAACAAGAATCGCAGAAGCAATTCCTACAAAGGCTCTTCCCCGAAATCGAGGAGCTCAAATCGGCAAAAGGAGCCGATTGGCAGGAGAAATACGCCGCACTAATTAGTGACTTTATCAATAGTATTAGGGAAGAGAACAAGCAAATCTCCGTGACGCCCGTGTCGTCGCCGCCTTCGACGCCTCAAAAGAGTTCGGAAATCGCCAAGTTGCAGTCGCAGCTGTTGCATTACAAAAACATTATCGACGACACTGTAAGTACAATATAAACTGGATTAAGATTATATTACACCAAACGTAGCTGGGCAGTTGAAAATCAATGCACAAAGATTCACAAACTGAGAGGAAAGATGGACAATGTTAGAGTTAAGGTGATAAATTTTGATACAGTGGCGGCTAATAAGCAATTTTGCAGCGGTAAAAATACGGGAAGTTCATGTTTACTTCCCTATACCGAAACCTAATAGTTTTGAAGATATTCAAAATTTTACTAAACACTTACTTACTTCTCTGTCTTATTTTTAAATTTTACTCCATCGACTTCTTAATTATTCCAAATGCCAAGCTACCTTTGTTGAGGTATACTACACTTTTTAAACAACAAATGGGAAAATGCATGGGCTCAATTTGATGTTGAGAAGTGCAGTATTACTGAATAAATGTCTAATCCTATTTTTAGGAAGGTATGCTGAATAAGCTACAAAAGCATGTAGAACAAGAAGAAATGACTTGGAGAAGTCAGTTAGCTGCGAAAGAAGCGGAATTGGACAGTCTGAAAGAAAATCGCATAACGCAGGTAATAATTAATCTACACAAGGGGAACACAAAGGGGCTCAACTAATTGTTTTTCTTCTTTCAAATGGAGTTCTTTTTTATTTTTAACAGCTCATAAAAAACTATTAGTTATGCCTATTTATTGACAATTGCCATTTTTGCATGTATACTATAGAATGCTGTAGACCCACCAGCGTTAGATATTCAAGGAGTTGCATTTGCCTACAATTGTATTGAAAAATCTCTACCGACGATTATTGACGAGGTACGAAAACGTAATATGTCAATCACCTCGTTTTTTGTTCAATTTTAGCTTTTTAAACAGTCATTAATACCATACAGGAATTATGAAAGCACCATTACTTTAAGATTAGCATAGCACAATTGTAATATTAACAACTAATTGTAGTAATGTGATACTTTTAGAATTCTTGTAAATAACAATGAAACTGTTAAGTCCCACGTAAATATCGTTGTTAGTGGCTGTAATTGTTAAACGAACAAGCTTACATTTAATACAAGTACGCAGGCTTATTAAAACACGCTTACGAATTAATTCCCAATAAATATTGCTTTGCGCACTTATAGGTTAATGCATTCGAAATAGAAATGGAATCAGAACCCGACGGTATTTATTACATTTAAAATGGTCAAGTTGTTTATTGGAACATTACAATTACATATTATTTTAATTTATTAATGTTTTGTGTTTAGTTACAGACGAAACTCGTTAACGTCGAGAACAGCCTTTCGAAAGAAATCGAAGAAAAGCGGAAGTTGGTAGAAGAATGCCAACTGTTGAAATCACAAAGAGGTACGCAGAATGGCGTAGACTCTACTAATTCACTAGCAACTATAGAGAAACTTTCGGAAGTAAGACGAAAATGACGGATGTCAATCGATTAACTAATTAATATTTTGTGTTTTGTAGGAAGTTAATAGTTTAAGGGAACAACTTAGAGAGGAGCAGACTAAAAACGGCGACATTAATGGATGCTTGAAAGTAAGTTAGTCACATTCTAAATAGTATATACGTTATTTTATTTATAATTAATGTAATTTTAATCCCAAAGGTTTCCATATGTCTAATTGAACTGATTAACATGTACTTTCTTTATAGTACAGGCCTAATGATTATTATTAATTAATTAATGATTGTGAATAAAATACCTGTATTTACTATTACTAAAATATTTCTCCTGTTGATAAAAAATGTGAAAAGAACGTTTTCTATTATTGTAATCAATCTTACCTTTTTAGGCACAAAATTGCAATAACTCGACGAACGGGCCAGCTTTCATTGAGGTAATGTTTGGTATTTTTTTATTAATTTTTTGTAAACCCTCGCAAAAATTTTCCTTATCCCAAAATTCTCTGTTAACGTAACATAGTTGTATAAGTTACACATACAGAAACATTAACACTGAAATTGAACTTTCAAAAAAAAATTTTATGTTCCTAACTCACTTAACTGTCTTTTTTGCTAACATTCAACCAGTACTGCCTGCCATCATCATCTAGCATTGCTTCTTCGCTTATTGAAGAGTACAAAAAACGAAAGAACAAAAAAAGAAAGAAGAAGGTATTGTGAAATTTACTGCCTGTGTTGATTACAGTATATTGCATGTTTCTGTTGAATTGTAGCATCGACTCATGTGATCATTTTTTATAAAGAAGCATATTTTGACACTCTATATTTTGAATTAGTTGAATTATAAATCAAATTATATCCATTAAAACAACTTATAATTTTAGGATATAATTTTTGCGTTGTTTTTTTTTTTTTTTTTTAATTGCTTGTAGTTGAATGTTCTTTTTACAGCACATTGTGTTAAGAGATCCTTGAGACTTTATTTAGTATATTTTCTACTTTTTTAAGGTGCGGAATATAAGAAACGCCAACATTTGTTCAAATATGGGGTGTCAGTTTTTGTACTGTGATGATAATAGCAGTTGCAACAATATTTAAACCAAATGAAGTATTAATGCAAAAGGTATTTATTTGCCTTTGTTTCTATTTCATTAAAACCATTTTTACTTTAATAAGGCAAAACAACACAGAATTTACCTTATAATTATCACATAATTACTTGTCCTTTATGTACTTTTTAACGCCACGATAATTATGATAAAATATTTTTTTAAATGTATATGTATGATAATTTTTTTTTATTTTAGGTGGAGAGGCATCAAGAATAACATTTCGCTTCTTCGCTGATCGTATATAAGATTAAAAACTTAACTTATAATATTATTTAATAACGCGTTATTATCATTCCTTTTACGTTTTCTGTTTGTGTCTGTGTGCAATACGATTCATTTCAATTACGAAACATTTTAAACTTTAAAAAATCATGTCATTGAGCTTTCTAAGACTTATTTAAATTCTTAATTTGTTGATATTTAATATAAAAGTTATATATAAAATAGAAGACACCTGCTTTTGTTAGTACGTTAGAACTTATCAATAATACTTATTAAATGATTAATCTTGGTTAGTTAATATTGTATAGGATATATTCTTGTATTAAAAAAGATTGAAATATCTATATTGTTTTAAACAAAAATATATATTTAGTTTCCTTTTGTATATTTTTCAATAATTTCAATAAACATATATACAATTTTTCCGTATTTTGTTTTAAAAGAAGGTCCCAGTAAACTTTTTGGAAAATTTTTATTGATCTTATTCTTATGCACATCTTGTAAATGAGCTGCTTTGTGAAAATATACAAATTCTAATTAAAGGAGAAATGTACATTTTAAATTGTGAATGTTGTTTATCAAAATTGTAAGAAAAAAATAAAAGAAAAAGGAAATATATTTGTATAACTTAATAATAATTTTCCACACAGTTTTAAGTAGTTTATAAAATAATGTGAACATAAAATTATCAATAACAATTTTCAATTTCCCTAAATTTTTTATTTTTTCACAAATTTAATGAAAAACGAATTGTATCACATTGGTGTATAGTCCAATTGAACATACAACTGTCTAACTCCTACTGAAGCAAATATCATCTGCGTATGAGACACAACATATTTGGGATCCACAGTTTTTGACACTTCCAATTTAATAGCACCAGTATAAAAATCACTACATACAGTCCAAAAATGAGGCTCTTGTACCGAATACACTCCTGCTAAACTCACTACTTTTTGGTAACATTGCGGAAGCACTTTATCTAGTGCTACTGGTTGCCTCTGCATTAAAATCAACATAGAATCTTTAATTAGCGCTAATACACTTAAAGCTATAAGTATAGCTATAAACAGTGAACAAAGAGGATCTGCAATCATCCAGCCAAACATATTCATAAGTACCGTCGATATTATCACTCCGACACTACCTAATGTATCAGCTAAAATGTGAAGGAAGACACCTTTCATTATTTGGGAATTTCCATGATCGATATCCACATCGTGAGAGTGGTTGTGATTGTTCATGGAATGGGAATGTCCGTGACCTGCCCCTCCGTGTGAGTGCCCATGGGAGCCATGAGAATGTCCGTGACCATGTTGGAAGGCGTAAATACCAACTAAGTTCACCAGCAATCCCAAAACAGAGACTACAAACAGCCTTTCGTGTTTCACCTGGAAATAATACATTAAAAATTTAAGAATAAGAAGGTGCTTAATAGTTACCTCTGGTGGTTCGATGGCTCTTTCGACAGCTTCGGACATCAAGAAAAATGAAATGAATAACAAAAATAATCCATTGACGAAGCCTGCTAATATTTCAGCTCTTACGTATCCATAAGAGAACTTGTCATTAGCTTTCCACTTCGTTATTACAGACGCCACTAAACCAGCCAGGAGTCCAGTGCAATCAAAAAACATATGGAAGGAATCCGAAATGAGACCTTTAAATAAACGAGGATATTAAGTAATCTAAATCAACAAACATATTGAAATAAATAAATACCCGAAAATATTTACCTAAACTATTACTCCATACGCCATAAATTAATTCAACAAAGGCGAAAGATAAGTTAAGCAGTAAAAATAAAAATAAGTTCCTTGAATTTCTGTCGGAAAAAATTAACCTAATCCAGCTATTAATTTTTTCTTTTATCCTGGAGCCGAATCCCCTCGAATATGATGGATAATTGTCTTTGTGAGACAAAGGCAACATTTTGTTACTTTAATTTTACTCAAACCAAGAAAAAATGCATAATTATTACGGAGCACTTAGAAACTTATTGACGACGTGTCTTCTGTATTTTGACTCCAATATGTGAAATAAATCGAAAGTTAAAGTAAAAAGTTATATATGGGTTTTATTGCTCGTTTTCTAATGGAATGTTCGTACTTTATGAGCATATTTCAGCCAGAACCGGCTGTTTATTTAATAGAATACACCACCAATTAACCATACTAATGGGATGGGTGTCAAAAACTGAAATGAATGAATAAAAAAATAAATAATGACGGATTTATGTTGACACCGATGACGTTTACAATAAATAACCACCAACTTTTAAAACAAAATATACCTAGAAAAATGTCAAATAAGTCAAATGTCATTTGCCACTGTCAATCCGTAATTTCCGCTTCTGACGTTTCCGTTTTTCTTTTACAGAAATCAACATGGTAGGTAACAAGTTTATTAGTTATTTTCTTTAATTTTAAATTGTTTTTTAAGTTTTAAAAAACCGATAATTGTTGCATCACATTGCACATACATCGAATTTATCGGCATACATTCATTTCGGTGTAAAATCTTTTTATTTAAAAAAAATCAAACCATGTGTACATGATGCATAATTTTACTTTCAAGACTATCTTCGTGGTTGCTAAAGTCTGATTTAATGAGTCTGATCTTAACATGGATTAAAAATAAGTTTGCTTAAGAAAATTAAGTATGTTCTAAGAAGTTTTTGCTTTCTAGCCTCCGAAGAAGGACGCGAAGTCTTCGTCCAAACAGCCCCAGAAGACTCAAAAAAAGAAGGAAGGGTCTGGAGGTGGCAAAGCCAAGAAGAAGGTACGTTAGCAAACTTTCCTTAATTAATCACAATATTTTACTATTTATTTGTATTTGCAGAAGTGGTCCAAAGGAAAAGTTCGTGACAAGTTGAACAATCAAGTTCTTTTTGATAAATCAACTTATGATAAATTATATAAGGAAGTTCCCTCATATAAATTGATTACTCCTTCAGTTATATCTGAACGTTTGAAAGTTCGTGGGTCTCTCGCACGTAGGGCTCTCATTGAGCTCCAACAGAAAGGTACGAAGATGTTCATTAGCAAAGGAATTATTACAAATTAATGAATATCGGTTTGTTGCAGGTCTTATCAAGCAAGTTGTACAACATAGAGCGCAACTTATTTACACAAGGACAACTAAGGGAGATGATCCTGTTGCATAGATGATAAGATAAAATGTATGTCTAAAAAATTAAAGAAAAAAATTTCATTTTTGATTTTTTTGTTTTCCTTGGTGAAATAATCTTATTTCTGTATAAATCAATACATATTTGACGAAATTCTCGTAAAAATGCACGTGTGAAAGTATTCCACAAGTATTAAGAGACTGTCTTCTTCTTATTAATTATTTGGTCACATCTCATTTTTCGAGATTTTTTTACGTGACATGCTTCATGTTGTTTGTTTTGACATTTGACGTGACAAATGGCATAAATGTCAATAAATAAAAATAATGTGATGGTGATCATAAAAAGTTTAATTTATCGTTAATTCTTATTGCATACATTAATTTTAAAGGGGAATTTTTAATCTGCGCCAGAAAATGTCGGAATCAAAGCCAGGGGTGCAGCCCCTAGTTAAAATTGGCCATTATGTTCTGGGCCAAACTCTAGGTGTAGGCACTTTTGGTAAAGTAAAGATAGGAGAGCATCAGCTTACTGGCCATAAAGTTGCTGTTAAAATATTAAATAGGCAGAAAATAAAGAGTTTGGATGTCGTGGGAAAAATCCGAAGGGAAATTCAAAACCTTAAGCTGTTTCGTCATCCCCATATTATTAAATTGTACCAAGTTATAAGTACCCCTACTGATATTTTTATGATCATGGAATACGTTTCGGGAGGAGAACTGTTTGAATACATTGTAAAACACGGAAAGTTGCAGGAGCACGAAGCCAGGCGCTTCTTCCAGCAAATTATATCAGGAGTCGATTACTGTCACAGGCATATGATTGTACACCGTGACTTGAAGCCTGAAAATTTGTTATTAGACCACAATATGCACGTTAAAATTGCAGATTTCGGTTTATCTAACATGATGACAGATGGTGAATTTTTACGAACTAGTTGCGGTTCACCAAATTACGCAGCCCCAGAGGTAAAAGATTCACATCTATTTATAAACGAGCGTTTTTTAATGAATGTGTTTTAGGTAATTTCCGGTAAATTATATGCAGGACCAGAAGTAGATATATGGTCATGTGGAGTAATTCTTTATGCCCTACTTTGCGGTACATTACCCTTCGATGATGAACATGTACCAAGTCTTTTCAGAAAAATTAAGTCCGGCATATTTCCTATACCGGATTATTTGAATAAATCTGTAGTCCATTTGCTGTGCCAAATGTTGCAAATTGATCCTATGAAAAGAGCATCAATCGAAGATATAAAAAAGCATGATTGGTTCCAAAAAGATTGTCCAGCTTATTTGTTTCCTTCACCTGTTGAACAGGATTCTTCTGTTATCGATACCGATGCCGTAAAAGAGGTATGTCCCTCAAATAATCTTAATGAGATATCAAAAATACAAAAACAATCTTTTATAGGTTTGCGATAAATTCGGTGTGCAAGAACCGGAAGTCCACTGTGCTTTACTTAGCGGAGATCCTCACGATCAATTGGCCATAGCATATCATCTTATTATAGACAACAAACGCATAGCAGATGAAGCTGCCAAGGCCGAAATTAAGGACTTTTATATAGCTGGTAGTCCGCCACCAGTAAGTCCGAGTCCGGCACCTCACGACCCAGGAATGAGTCCAATGAAACCGCATCCTGAGAGGATAGCGCCTCAAAGACCTTGGCCACCTACTACAACTACATCTGCTGTAGGGGAAAGGGCCAAAGGTAATATAGTTGTATGTACATAAAGACTATTGGTTTAATAAATTTTTATTTTCTAGTGAAGAGGGCTAAATGGCATTTAGGAATCCGTTCACAAAGCAAACCCAACGACATTATGATGGAAGTATACAGAGCTATGAAGGCTTTAGATTACGAATGGAAAGTTATCAATCAATATCATATTCGTGTTAGACATAAGAACAAATTGCAAAATCGTCATGTTATGATGGCGTTACAGCTATATCAGGTATGTTGGATTTATTTATTTCTCCATACATACTATTATTTGTTTCTGCTCGTTTTAGGTTGATTACAAGAGTTACTTATTGGATTTCAAGAGCTTGAGCAATGAAGAAAGCGAATTCAACCTGGGATGTTTGATGAATGACGCCATTGCAACTCCTATTCAAAATATTGTTCCTGTAAACTCTAAGGCAACAGGACATCATACTATGGAATTTTTTGAAATGTGTTCCGCTCTTATTATTCAACTTGCACGATGAGCTTTTAAATTTTTCGAAATTTACAATATATTTCCTTAGGAAATAACAAATTTATTTCGGTAGAGGTTTTTAGTTGTTTTTTGTTAGTTGGGCGTTTTAACTGGGGTTTTAAAATAGAAAAATATTTCTAAATATTATAAACATTTACACATTTTATTTTAAAGGTTCCTGTTGCTCAATTGTAAAAACATTCAACCTATGTAATATTTATTGTTAATATGTATTATATTTTTTGTTGTCAAAATTCAGTATTGATCTATAAAGGAAAGGAATTGGAAAAAATTGGAAAAATATATGTTTCAAACTTAAAATAAATGTTTAAACTTTATTAACATCCTATATCGTTTTTGCCATTATATTTGAAAAATCATTATGAAACATAGCAGAACAATAGCATTTATTTCTTTTTCTTTTTTTGTGCTAAGGCTTCCATTATTCTAGGTAATTCTTTCATTAAATCCTCTGGACATAAGTTAAAATCATTATCAGCCCAAAAGTGCTTCAATTCCGTCATTACATTACCCATTGTTTTTCCAGGTTCAACTCCTTTTTCCTTTAATAAATTCCCACTTACAGGAAATTTAGGAATTTCCCATTTCTCTAACTCTTCCCAATAAGGTGAATTGTTATATTTCAAAACTTCAACTGCCATTTTCTTGGTATTGGCTGGTTTAGATATGGACTTTAAAATTTGTTGTTGGAACGGCATTAGAGGCTTCGGATGTAGTTTAGGGCCTCTATTTTCTACAACATAAATTGCTAGATCTCTCTCAAAAGCGGACAATTTAAGTCTTAAGTTGAGAGCTATGGCCTCGTCAACATCATTCAGCAGTGAAGAAATAAGAGTAATTGCATTTAAATTGAGATGGCCGCTTTCTTTCCATACTTTCTTTAATTCTTGAACATTTGAATTTTCAGGTAAACCTAAAAAATGTAAATATTTAGAATGCAAATATACACAATATTATAAAAAACAAATGTACCTATGTAAGGTGTTAATCCACTTTCTAACATAGTAATCAATAAATCACCAGCAAAGTTGCCCTCTAAAATTTGTTTAAGTTCCATCCAGATTCTTTCACCTGATATGTTAGCTAAACCGTGAGCATTTTCTCTAATTGATTTAAGAGTAGCTGGCTCGTGTTTGTTAGGGTCTTCACAAATTCTTCCATAAAATCTAAAATGAATGAATATAATTTAGCTTTAAAAGGATAATAACAATTTTATACAACTTGTTTATACCTAAAATATCTTAATATCCTCAAATAATCTTCTTGTATTCTAGTGTCTGCATTTCCAACAAAGGCAACCCTACGACTTTTAAGATCATCAAAACCGAAGAAGTAATCATACACAGTTCCATCGAATCCCAAAAACATTGAATTAATGGTTAAATCCCTCCTCAATGCATCAAGTAACCAGTCAGTGGTGAACTGGACTTCAGCATGCCTGCCATTCGTTACTACATCGATTCTTAATGTGGTCACTTCAAAATTCTCTTTATCGTTTATCCGCGGAGTGATCGTACCGTGTTTTTCGCCATTCGCATTAATCATCCTAACGTTTTCCGTGGTAAACATTTCCTTCATTTGTGTCGGAGTGGCTGTAGTAGCAAAGTCCAAATCCTTAGGCCGCTTGCCTGAAAGCAGATCCCTCACAGCCCCACCGGCTATTCGAATCTCGTATCCATATTCTTTAAATAACGATATCAAAGCCCGTAATTCATCGTTGAATATCGAGTTGAATTCAGGACTGTCCAATTTCATAATAACGGGGTTTTCTCTCGATTTTGCCAAAGCCATTTTTCTCAGTGTTTTAATTCGTTCTTCGTTAGACAATTTAACTAACTGAAATGTTTGAATTGAAAATTAAAATTCATTTGAAAGGGCGAGACATACTAACGTTGATAGAATTGAAGCGTTTTAAAATCTTGGTGGAAGTATTTAGAATTAACTTACATGCTAAAAGCATTACGTTTTGTTTTGATGTGAATGAAAAGGGCTCTGGAAAGTAAATAAAATATAATTTTTACAGGCAAGTGAGGTTATGTCGTACAAAGTTTGATGTTTGACTTCTTTGTTTTTTCGGAATCAGTTTGGACCTAACGCTAACTTCGGAGTAAACTATCAATCGTGAGGCAAAATTTTATGTTGGCTATCCTGACGGCAGTTTCGCGCCAATTATTTGTCGTTTCGTTGTCGACTGTCGAGGTCCATTTGTTTTGCAAGTTGCAAGTTTTGTTCATTGTGGTTTTGTGTGTTTTTTGTTGTGAGGAAAATGGATATTCGACGAGAACTTCGATCAGAATTCGAAGCACTAAATATAATAATAGACGAAGCAGCATTAGATACGTGTAAATATTCCATATTTTAAAAATGGCCTTCACATTATGCATGACTGTTTGTAGGTGAATACTTGTGCCATTTGTATCACATCAAATCTGGAGATTTTTGCGATCAATGGCTCGCGTTTACCCTAACCAATTTAAAGGGAGCCAACCCTACAGTCGAATACTTGGAAAAAATGGAAAGAAAAGAATTGATGAATAGGAAGAAAAAACCCGGCGACAAGTATCCTTTTTTATTAAAAAAAATTAAGCGTTTCGGCCAGTCATTTTATAATTTCCTTAACAGCGATACCAGATCACACAGAATAACCCCTCGTAAACACGAAAATGCTCCGCTAACACCACAATCAAAGGTGAGTATACAAAAAAAATAAAAAAAAAATAAAATCGCCTGCGGTCAGAAACGAACGTTGGCTTATGATTTATAAAAGTTTACCACCATTCAGTGTTGCCAGATTGTTCGAATTGAAATTCCTACCTGAAAGAATTTTAGATTATGCTAAAAAGTTTGTTCTGGAAAATTACAGTACACTTTTTAATTTGTAACGGAAATTTGGTTATTAAGCACTTAAATGCTGGGTTTAGTGGGTAAATATTTATTAGCATCCATCTAGTTCTTATACATGTTCATTCTTATTATTAATTTTAATTTTTGCGCGGTTTGGCGAAAATTTACATGGGAATTTCCGTGCACTGCATTTGTTATGAGTATTATGTTATATTTCTTATTTCTTGCACTTCTACTTGTTACTAAACAAAAAATTTTTGATTTGGCAACGCCGCCATAATTTTTTGTACCTTTCCCGTCCCGCATGAATGACCATTCGCCGAAAGCGCGGTTCGTCTCCGTCTAATCGACCCGGTCGGACAGAGACGGCGATGCGATCGTCAGTCGATTCGTCGCAGTTGCGCAGAGAAACTTAAACTTTTCTCAGAAACTTTTCAAGGCTATTCTATCCTTCAGCGGCCATTGTTAGATCGGTAGAAGACGCTTGGCTTTTGTTTGTGTGGTGTTCAATGTGCTCGGGCTTTATTTTCGGACTTTGGATCGATTTTGTGCGAATTTATGCGCCGGCATTTTTCCAACCTGTTGATTCGCTTGTCCGTTTTTCCCGGGCGAATGTTTTGTGAAAAGTGACGGTAATTTAGCTATCGTTTTTTTGCGGTCCGATTCGCGAACAAAAGTAGTGTAAACAACCTTTAACTGAGATTTTGTTTGTAGACGAAATCATTTGCAAGGTTAAATTTCGTTAACCCCGCGTAGATCGTTAATTATTTTGCTAATAATCGAAGCAATCGGGGGCTATACCGCTTTTGTCGCACCTTTTTTTATTCGCATTTCTTTCGGTGTTTTCTTTTTGTTCGAGTCGGTAGAAGCGTCGGTAACTTTTTTTTTTCGGTTTGTTACGAGGGCGGGCGGATAATTTGGGATCTCTTTAATGGGTGAGGGTCTTGTGGCACGTTTTGTTCGTTATTCGTGACTAGATCCACACTCATTAAGGAAATTTCAACCATCATCTCTCACGAAGCGTTGGGGTGATTTTAATTAGTAATTGATGGGCAATGAGTTCAGAACCCTGTGTTGGCGCGTGTGGCGCTAGTCCACGCATTTTTTGAATCGTGACTAGATCCATACTCGTCTATAGGGGCTCCTGCATCCAATAAACCAGTGGCGTGCGATCTCTTAAACTTCTAGAATCGGCTTCGAACTTCGAAAACTCTCAATATCACACTATTCCATAATTCTTATTTTGTATGCCTTTTTTTCTGTATAGTAAAATATTGTTACATACCTGGTTTTATTAACTAATAAATAATGAACGAGCCTGATTGTTTGTTCGCTTTTATATTATTTACTGCTTTTTGTTCCAAACTAACAGGTTAACTCCGTTTTGAAGATTGAAAACTATATTTTTGAATCTTTTTTTGATTGTAAACTACTATGAACGCTTAGTACAATCATTTTTAATTTAATTAATTAATCTTGTGCAGTCGAGAGTATTGATCAGTTGGCCTTTTTTTAATTACTGCTTCTATTTTGTTGAACCACTTGCACACTAATACATCAATTCAATCTAAATATAAAGTTTAATACAGGCAAAAGAAAACTTCCTAAATAAAATAATTGTTTTTTTTTTCACTTTCCCATGTGGCTCAATTGGATTTTTACGTTATTTATTATTCAATAAGATAAATCAGCGCAGAACTGCAATGTAAGATACTATTTTGTTATCTTCTGGTTAGCTGATCGAGTTTCATAATAAGTTTAGTGTTTGTATGATACTTTTTTATCTTTGCTAAGTGGACATTCTACTTTTCCAATGTCATAAGAAAAAATCAAGATAGCGTTTGTACATTCTTCATTGTTGTGTCTTTGAAATTATAAAGAAAAAAGTCGTTACATTATCGTTATTCTTCTTTCCCTTTTAAAAATTAATTCCTGATTCATAAAAATTCAGTGTTAAATGAATTCAACATACATAACCAGGAAAACTATTCTTACTTAAATCAAATCAATAAACAGTTAAGCAGTTTTGTTAGCTTCCATGATGATAAAAAGAATGTAAATAAAATACAATACAATAGATTATTACATTATTAGAATAATGTATAAAATACAAGTCTAGGATAACAAATGTAACCTCTAAAGAATCAGAATGAAACTATCTAGTTTAATCTAATGTTTAACTTGAAACAATTACATAGATAATGAAGTTTTTGGCACTTTACTTGAATTTTAATTTTCAAAATTTAAAAAGGGAATGACAATTTATTTTTTGAATGTTTGTTTCAGAAGCCGGTAGTTGCAGATGTGGCGGAAACTCCGGATACGCACAGCGAATCCAAAGACGAACTATCAGGAATGTATGTGAATCGTTTCAACTCGTAATTTTGGCTAAAAGTTGCTATAATTTTTTCAAAAATCCTGAAAATTTAAAAATAATTGGCTCAACTACTCTATCCATTGTCATACACAGTGGCAAAAAAGTACCTGGAAAATTGGAATAAAACGCAAAATTCCTAATTTTACTCCAAAATATACTCCTTTTGAAGCGATACACTATAGTCAGACGCGTTTTTCAATCATCAAAGCCTTTTTATAAGCCCTTTTTGGTACGGCTTTTAGCTTTTTCTGTGAATTTTCTTTGATGGCACTTATAGAGTCAAAACGAGATCCCCGAAGTGGCAATTTGAGTTTGGGAAACAAAAAAAAAGTCGCACGAGGTTAAATCTGATGAGTAAAACGGCTGGTCGATGGTACTTCACACGAATCTTTTTTGAAGAAACTAATCTCTATTGGAACGAGCCGAGCCTCAATTCTCGGCATGTCTGATTGGTTGAGCAAAATCAAACGAGCGGTTTCACGAGAGATGTTAAAGTCGAGTGCTACTTCTCTAACACTAGCATGATGATTTTCCTTCCTTGAACTCAATTTCCTTCATTTTCTCGATATTATCATTGGTTGAAGAGAACAAAGACCATCCGGAACAAGGAGGTTTTTGGTGATCTCCCGACTGTCTTTAAAAGTTTTATATCATTCGTAAATATGGGTTTTCGGTAAAACAGAGTCACCTTAAGCAATTGCATCGATTCGGCCCACCAAATTCCGTTCAAAACCCAAAATATGAGGCAAACTCTTTGTTCATTATTTTTGTCCATTGCAAAATTCGCAGAGAACTACTGAGATGAATTGATTCAATCAGCTGCTACAACCAAACTGATTGAGAAATCTCTCTAATTTTTTGCATGCTGATTAAGAACAGTGTTACCTACATACAGAAACTTGAAATAGTTAAAAATACTAAGTGCAGGTAATTTAAATCAGAATTTCCGGGAACTTTTTTGTCATTGGGTATAACTGGGCGATTTTTTGTAACTAAATGACTTTGTTATATTTTAGTAATTATTCCGAAAAGTTTCAAAAACGAGACAATTCTCGAGCGGTTCTCTGCCATTTCGGTCCTGAGAAAGTAGACTTTATGAGAGGAGAGAATATTGTGTTATCGATAAAAGAAGTAGATGATCATAAAATACCGAAAAATATCTTATACATGTACCAAACAGTTTTAAAAACGGGAACACAAATGAACACAATGATCTATCAGTTGGGACACGATATCCTAAATGCAAATGACTTAAGAATACCAACAGAAAAGCTTCAAGAAACTAGTGTAAGTTACAGCTTACTTTTCCTAATTGAAAATTAATTATCTGTATTATAAGCCCGTAAAGGTTACAAATTTTTAGGACCTTGTTACTACATATGGAATGTTAAATTCGGACACCGAGCACCTATTAAATTTACAATCGGTAGTTTTACAAGGAAGCATTGAAACGACTAATAATGCGCAATTTAATGTAAGTTTTCCCAAAGACACGTATGTTTCTTCCATTTTCCCGGGACAGGTTGTAGCAGCAAAGGGAACGTTCAACGTAGATTGTCGATTCTGTATCCAAACCCTTTATACAAAAGCCGAGTTGAATTTACCAATTGAGCCACCATTAACCACTGGTAATTTACTCTCATACTGATATGGTATTATTTCTTTTATCTTCATATAAATTTACAGGAGGGGCGCAAATAGTAGTGGCCAAAGGTCCTTTTACTTTTAACGAAAATCTTTCGTATGAACCTTTACATGATCTCTTAGAGTACGTTCGTGAATATAAGCCTCACGTGCTCATTCTACTGGGGCCGTTTCTGGACGATACGCATGATAATGTGAAAACCGGCGATTTGAATCAGTCATACGATTCGTTTTTTGAAGATTTAATGGACAACATAATAAACGCTGTAAGGGATATTGATGTACATCTAGTAATAGTTCCGAGTTACAAGGAAATTCACCACCATCCCGTGTATCCTACACCGCCTTATCACATCAAGGAAAAGTACGATAATGTTTCGTTTGTGTCTGATCCAGGAGTAATAGAAATTGATGGGTTGAGAATTGCGACGACTACAGTCGATATTTTAGCTCATTTAAGTATATACGAATTTTATTTGTAAGTTTGTTTGTTTTTTTTTATTTTATTTGTTAATCATTTTGTTTTATTTTCAGTCACAATAGTAGTATTATAAAACCAATCAAGAGACCTCTCAGATTGGCCTCGCATATATTACATCAAAAGAAAATATATCCGTTGCATCCTTCTGAAGGAGTTCCAATTGATGATGTTCTATTAGATAAATACGGGGTTTTCAAAGCCAAACCTCACATCTTGATTTTACCGTCAGTTTTGAATAGTTTCATCGAGGTAATTTCTTTTAAATAGCAATATCACAGACAAAATATTTTTATTTATTTTAGAACATCGATGATTGTCTAGTTATTAATCCCGGAAGATTATCTACAGGACTCGTAGCTGGGTCATTTGTTAGAATTCAAATTGAAGCTGGAAATACACGGTCCATTTGTGACAGGGCTGCGGCAGAAGTTATTAGAATTTAATTTATTATAAGTTTTACGATAATAAAAAACCGATTTAAAAGTTAACCAAAATGCTTTCAAGTAAGAGGCATTTTATTTTGACATTTTTGACAATGACAAGTTCTTGACGTTTTAATATTTAGAGGTGTGATTCAACTTCAGTCCACAAATAAATGTAAATAAATAAAAGCTGGTAAAGTGAAAATGGCTTTGACTAATATTTTATTAGTTAGCCAAATCGCTGGATATGTTATTGCGTTCATTTTATCGTTATGCATTGTCGTCCCCATGAGTTGGCATCAAGATGACTTCAAGTATAAAATAGATTATCATAACAATGAATTAATAAGTGACAATTTTTTTATCATAGGGGGCATTGTTTACTTTTTTCAACTGGAGAATGGCAAGAAACCGATGGGCAATTGTTAGTACACTGGGCTTCTCAATGTTACTGTAACTACACTATCTTTGTTGGCATAGCTCTCTTATTGGTATCGGCCATTCAAATTTATAGGTATGTAATGTTGGGTCCGATATATTGCTATTATTCAATTAAAAAAAAACAGATTGTTGTTAATAAACAAATTACATTGTGGGTCCGAATTGGACTATGCACACAATTTTATTATTTCGATGTTTTGCAGATTATCTATCTTTCTATACAGAGGATCAGATAGTTCTTTTCTATCAGCATTTATCGATGTCTTGAGCGGCATTATTCTTGGTGGTATGACAATTATAGCTGCTCTCATGATAACCTTAGGATTCATGGCATGGTGTCAAAATATGACTCAACGTTTTCCTTCGTAAGTCCTTCACAAAGTAAATTATACATATTAAGTATTATTATTTATCATTTTTAGTTGCGAATTGGCCGCTGGACAGGACATTGACAAAGCAGATCACATCAACACAGCGAATTTTTACATCCAATTAGGTACAGCACAGTTCGGTGTTTGGGGATCTTTTGCTACTTGGGTAGGTCTAACGGTATGCGCAGTGCTGAAATTGTGCAGGTACCATCAATTAGAAAATATACGAGTTTCAATGTACAGAGAAAGACAACGACTTATAAACGAAAACGCAGATTCTCCCGGTAGTAGTCTTGGAAGAGAATCAACCAATACCCAATCGACTGCTACGATTGAGTGATTAATCAAAGAAACTTTAAGATTTCCGTATTTAGTAATTTACGCTATAATCCATATTTCTTTATTTATACATAGAACTTTATTTCACTTTATAGCAGAAAGTTAAAGTTTTATATTAATCGTTAAGTTGTGATATACTCGTACTTTATGTTGTTATTTTAGTCTTATTGCGTTTGTTTTTAGTTTGAAAGTATATTAACAAATATTTATTACAAATCTTCGAATTGGTTACAAAGAATACGTAGTATAATTTCAAATATATTAAGTATTGTGTATTTTTTGATGCCTTTTCAAACCGTGGCCCAATTTGAAGGCTTTTTGGCATATATCGCAAAAATAATCTCTTTTATCAGTATGCACTGTTTCGTGCTTTTTCAATTCTCCCAGTCTCTTGAATTTCTTACTACAAACTTTACACGAGAAGCGGAATTCATCATTATGGAACATTTTATGGATGTACAGAGACGCAGATTGTTTAAAGGATTTTCCGCAAACGTCGCACATATACGGTCTGTAGTTAGTGTGAGTATTTAAATGCTCGTTCCTCGCGTATTTGCTGGCGAATAATTCGTTGCAATATTCGCACTCGAATTTTTTGCTTCCATGGTGCACGATGTTGATGTGCCTGGTTACATGGGAGCTGCGCCGAAACTTTTTCCCGCACAAATAACAGCAATGCAATTTCCTATCTAAATGTATGTTGTAATGGTCCATGAACGAAGAGCTTTTCGTTAATTTCATCTCGCACAAATCGCATTTGTAGTAAACGGCGCCGTCGTCTAAAACTTTGTGCCTGTTGAGGAACTCCATGTTTTTCTTTCTGCTGGAAGTTTCCAGTAAATTCTTGGAGTTAGGATGCGTGTTGGCGATGTGTCTTTGCATGTCGAATTTCCTGGTAAATCCCTTTTTGCAGACCGAACACACAAACTCCGCGTTAATTTCGCCCTTTTTCCTTCGGACTTTCGTCGGTTTTAGTTTATGCAAGGATTCCATGTGGTGTTTTAGTTTCGTCTTCGTTTTGAACGATACGTCGCAAGCGATGCAAGAGATTGTGTTCAAATCCACTGCTCGTAGATATTCTTGGTTTCTTTTCTCGAATTCGGAAGCCGGCTGGATTTCCTCATCGCTACTACTCGAACTTCCTTCAGGAGAAACCGCTTCATAATGGCTGGATTTTTCTAGCTTTGATCCGCCCTTTTCATCTCTGCAAGACGCAACAAAAATAGTTTTTAATACATCAATTTGCCGTTACAAATAGATTAAATTGAATACACATATTAGACTTCCTTCACATAATATAGCAAATTAGTTATTTTCATGATCTTTCCGATGCTTTTTCAAGAGTTTTATCTGATCAAAATTGACGCCACAATCTTCGCACGAGTAGGAAACGTGCGTTTTCTTGTGCCTCTTCAAATCCTGAATCAACCTGAAAGATTTCTGGCAAACATCGCAATCGTAGTCTCTCCTGCAGGTGTGCACCACCTGGTGCTTCTTCAATTCGCCGCCGCGTTTGAATTTCTTGTCGCAAACCGTGCAAGAGAACCGGTAAATTTGATCGTGGAACATCTTGTGGACGTACAACGAAGAGGACTGCTTGAAGGATTTCCCGCACAAGGCGCACATGTAGGGCCTGTTGTTGGTGTGCGTGTTGACGTGCTCGTTTTTAGCCGAATTGGTGGAGAACGTGTTGTGGCAAAATTCGCAGGAGAATTTCTTCATGCCGTAATGGACGACGTTAATGTGCCGGTGCACGTGCGAGCTCGTTCGAAATTTCTTCCCGCACAAATGGCAGCAATGCAATTTTCTGTTCAAATGGATATTATAGTGATCCACGAACGAGGAACTCTTCGTTAATTTCACGTCGCACAGGTCGCATTTGTAGTAGACTACGCCGTCATCGCATACTTTGTGTTTGTTTAACAACTCGAAGTTTTTGTGTCTATTCGAGAGTTCGGCTTCGGAATGAGGGTGGACTCGGGTGATGTGCCTTTGAAGGTCGTATTTTCTGGAAAAGCTCTTTTTGCATTTCGAACACGTAAAAAGTGTGTCCGATGCGCTGGTCTTTCGGCGAACTCGTTTCATTTCACCTTCGCTACTTTCAGTTTCTCTGTCAGAGTCGTTTGTTTTGTTAACATCTTCTTTTTTACCGTCAATTATTTTCGATTTTAATTTCAACGATCTGCAAGAAATATACAATTATGCCGTTAATATGCCTACTAGCAATGGCTTAATCTTAACTAATCGAAAACGTCCTATACTACAAAATATAAATAAAATAAAAAACAAAATTAGCGTACAGTATATATTTACAATATTAAATTAATTGAGAGCATGATTTAATTTTTTATGGTTTTTTAAGTATCTTTTTTGCTTAAATTTAAGTCCACACAATTCACAAGACCATGGTTTCTCATCCGAATGTATAAGTTTATGCCTTTTAAGTTCGTACTTGATCCTAAAACGCCTCCCGCAAATATCACATGCGTAAGGTTTTTCACCTGTATGCTTCGTCATGTGAACCAACATAGGCGGTTTTGTTCTAAAAACCTGATCACAATAAGAGCATTTAAATGGAAACACGTCCATATGTGATCTATTGTGTACGTACAGAGAGGCCTTCTGTCTGAACGATTTACCGCATAAATCGCACATGTAAGGCCTCTCGTTCGTGTGGATTCTACGATGTTCCTCCACGTTTCGCCTCGTTCCGAACATCCTTCCGCAAATATCACATGGGAAAGTCTTTATTCGTTCGTGAGTTTCTTTCAGATGCCTCACCAATCCCTGAGAAACTCTAAAGCACCTGCCGCATCTGTGGCAGGTGTGCGGCCGTTCCCCTGTATGTATTCTCATGTGCCATATGTAAGTGTAAGGAGAATACAGACAACTTCCGCACTCTTTGCAATTGTAATAGACCTTTCCATCTACCACAATTTTCGCTTCGTTGACCATCGCTTGATTGATTTTAGAATTCTTTTTCCGCGTCTTCTTCTCCTTTTGCTTGTCTTTTTTGTCCTCTTTCGCCTTCTCAGGGTGTTGCTCTCGTATGTGTTCAGACATTTTGTCTTCAGTAAAAAATACCATTTGGCAATCCTGGCAACCGTAACAAGATTTTTCATCTTTATGGGAAGAATCTGCATCATTCTCTTCGACGTAATCTTCATCATCATCTTCTTCATCATCTTCTTCATTATTCTCCTCGCTACTGAACACTTTTTGCTCAGATTCAATGTCAGTTTTTTCGATTTCAACCTTCGATTGGCTTTCGTAAATCTCTTCGAGCGGAAGGTAATCTTGTTGAAGGGAAATATATTGACCGTATGCATCTGCATATTCGCTAATTTCAGTCTTTCCTAATAATACCGGTTGGTTTTGATCCAACACTTCGAACTTGCATGGTTCATTTACCTCCCTGTGGACAAAATTTAGACTTCAGCAAAGAGTGCGAAGGAGATATAAAAACTAATATGTATTTTTAAAATTGTCTCGGTAGACGATAGGTAATTTTATTAACTCACGCTATAGATACCCAGAATTTTACTGAAGGATTAGAATTTTAAATTTTAGGAAGGTAGTCTAATATTAAAAAATCATAATTGTAAAACTGTAAAATTCCAAACGAAAAATATTTATGAATAATATACTTACTCAAATTGTGATATTTCTGCAGAAGGTTCTGGTGGCTTTTCAGTCACAACTGGGGAATTTCTGAGTCTTCTATCAGCTTCGATACTTGTTACTACTAATTCGTGCCAAGCGAGAATAGTAGAGGCGCATTGCCAGCAGCACTGGAGAGGTAATTCGTCAGATTTATCCACCTTTATGGGTAAGTAAGAGTTCATTTTTATAGCCAAATTGTTGCTTTCGCCCTCTTCACTGTAAATGCCTATGAGTTTGTCGTTTTGATTAGCACATAGTCTACAAATTTCGGTGATATTGACTAATTCTGTGAGTTCGTTATTTTGATTCTCCAATAGAACTGAACTTCTGTCAACATCCATCTTTTCTAAATTAATAATATTCGGCAAAAACTCGACATTTAAAATGTAAGTTTACAAAAACAAACCAAGACCAATATGGCAGTAAAAGATTGATTGAAGTGGGATATGACACTTGACATGACATTTTTTTAATTTTTGGTCTCTTACTAAAGTAACCGGCAGTTCCAATAATTTTTTTTAATGTTGCACTGAGCACAACTTCTATAACTTATCAATTTTTGTTTGCTCAGTAATCTATTCAAATTGCTCATATTTTCTTAATATAGCTTTAATTAAAAATACATTTATATCTAATAATAAGAAGAAGAAGAAGTCAAAAGGACGAGTTGACGTAGCTGTCAGCGATTGGTTTACTTTTATTTATCAAAAACTATCCGTAACTTTGACATTTTGACGTTTTCCCTTGCAGTCATCAAAAACAAATAGTTATATGGAAGTTTTTTAAATTATTTTTGAGAATTACTGTGTTTAAATGTGAAGCATCATGAGGTCCCTGAGTATATCACTATTGAGTTTAACTTTAACGTTATTAGTTGTGGCCAATGCATATTATCAGAAGAAACAGTTTTATCCATCTGTTGTATATATTACAAAATCTAATCCTAGCATGGCTGTAAGTAGTATTTCAACTCAAAATTGATCAATTAGCATTAATGTTATCATTGTAGGTAATATATATTCAAGCATTCATTTGCGTTTGGATCACGGGGAAGATAATGAGGAAAATATTCTTCGGGCAGTTAAGAACTACAGAATTTGAGGTAATAGACTTCACAGACTACATTCCATATTCTTCTATATTTAACGGTGTTATTTCAGCATCTTATGGAGAGATCTTGGTATGCTGTAACAGAAACTTGCCTTGCGTTTACCGTATTCAGAGATGACTTTAATCCCAAATTTGTAGCTGTGTTTACGTTACTCCTATTTTTAAAATCCTTCCATTGGCTTGCAGAAGACCGTGTAGACTATGTAAGTATAACTGTTGAGTCCTGATAATTATAGATAATTACCCCATTATATGTAATTATGCTTCTACGTTTTTTTGCAATAGTAGGTACTATCTTTAAAAATTAGTAACGAAAACAGTCGATATAAAAAATATGCAATGTATGATAACTTACAATTTATGTATTCAACAGAAGTCACTTTTTTAATCTCTTCACAATTCTTCAAAATTGTTTCATTGAGATTTATGAAATTTTCTTTTTAGATGGAACGAAGTCCTGTTATAAGTTGGCTGTTCCATTTGAGAATTTTGTCCCTGTTACTTTTGCTGGGTTGTTTGGATCTTCACTTTATTCAACATGCCTATCTGTCGACTGTAACAAAGGGCGCATCGGTACAATTGGTTTTTGGTTTTGAATATGCCATTCTCCTTACTGTTGTAATAAATATAGCTATAAAATATGGTCTGCACTCGGTAGACCTCAATAGTGAAACGCCTTGGGATAATAAAGCGGTATTTTTATTATACACCGAATTAGTAATGGGACTCATCAAAGTTATTTTATACTTTGCCTTTGTTGCTATCATGGTTAGGTAAGAAATCAAATTAATTAATTAATAATCATAGGTATTAATTTCCATTTTATTTTACAGGATTTATACTCTACCACTGTTTGCATTCCGCCCAATGTATTATACAATTCGAAATTTCAAAAAAGCCTTCAGCGATGTCATACTATCCAGACGGGCTATCCACAATATGAACACCCTATATCCGGATGCCTCTCCTGAAGAGCTTCAAGCCGCGGACAATGTTTGCATAATTTGCCGCGAAGAAATGACCACAGCCTCGAAAAAATTACCCTGCAACCACATTTTCCACACGGCTTGTCTCAGATCATGGTTTCAACGTCAACAGACCTGCCCGACATGCAGGTTAAACATCCTGAGAAATCCGACAAACAACAACACTCGACCTGCCGCGGCTGCGGCTCCGCCTCGTCCGCCTCAAGCGGCCCCTTTCATGAATCCATTCTTCGCCGGACAGAATCCGTTTCAAATGTTCCAGCCTCCGAATATGGATAATCAAGCCCCTCAACAACCTAGACCTGCTGAAAACGGCGGTGAGCAAAATGGCGCGCCGCCGCCACAGCCTCAACCTGGGGCCAACATGCCGCCTTTCGTTTTTCCACCTTTTCCGTTTATGCCATTTTTGCCTCCGCCTCCCATGCCTCCGCAAAATTTCGCTTCGTTATCCACAGAGGAATTGCAAAGAATGGAAGGCAACGAAAGAGAAAACGTCGAAGCTAGAATATTATGTTTAAAGAATATTCAGGTAAATATAATACAACTCAAACTAATTGAATGACTCCCTAATGTTTTTTTTTATAGATGCTTTTGGATGCAGCAGTTGTTATGATGCAGCAATACAGTACTACTGTTCTGCTTTCGAATCAAGTTCCTACGACGAGTTCTAATGCTACTACTCCTCCTCCGAACTTATTTTCAACGAATAACGCTAGTTGGAGTAATTCTCAGGGGCAATCGGAAACTCCAAGAGTTGCTAAAGTAGCACCGACTACTAATGTTCAGTCCAATTCCAGTAGTGAAAACGGCGAAGGTTCTTCGAGCGATGTTTTTGATAAACCGACGACGTCAAAGGAAGGGCCGAGTTTGGATGCTAGTCAAGTTAGTCAGGAAGAAGAAATTAGGCGAAGACGATTGCAAAAATTTGAACAGCAGACTGAGAGCGAGTAACAATTTTTGCTAATAATGTTACTTAATTTTGTTAAAATTTCACTAGATTCAGGCATTTTATAATACTGTAAACTGCCACAAATTAGATTTACTACTTACCTAAGTATATTGTCTTGTTTTAAATAAAGTAAAAATAAGTTTCACTCTCAATTGGTTTCTAGTCAAAGTGCTAAAAGAAACGTACTTGGAAAATTTGGCTTTAATAATGGGAAAAATGAAAAAAATCAGTTAAGTATCGCTGTACTGCACTAATTCGTTAAAGACATAAAGCATAATGCTTTGTTTAAAAAAAAGAGTCACTTTCTTGATTTTGTTTAAATGTTATTAATTTTAATTGTTCATTTATTTTCTCAAAATTCAGTGCATGACTAAAGTTTAAAGTATTGTAAAATATCTCCTCATTGCGAGTTTAACAAGCAACTGGATTCATTATTTAATCAATAATCATTTGCATTACATTTATAATTTTATTTTTAAAGGTCAGTGAGCATATCAATTAATCATATTGGTTATAAAAGTAAATATCACTTATTTTACACTCAACATTTTTCTTGCAATTGATATAACTACTATTTTTTATCTTTTTGTTCCAACGCATTTTTATAGTAAAATTTGAATAATATCAATGTATTGTAAAGTATGATTATTAAAAAAATAGTCCACCAGTTACTTGTCAAACGAAATTCATACATTAATTATTTATGTGATTTAGATTTTAAACATTAGCTTCAAATTACCTAATTTTTAATACATGATTATAATTTTCGTATTTATCGCAATTAAATCTTTTAATATTATAAGTAGGTTTATTTGAAATTAAACATTTATGTTGTTGTGTATTAACTATATTAACATTTTTTATTCCTTTTTTACAAATGTAACAAATTAACTTGCTTCGGTTTCATTTTCTTCAGATTTCTTCTCCCTCCTGTACTGTGTACATTCCGGATATTTATCTGCCATAAAACTTCTGATCTCCCCATATTCAGCTATTAAATTTGTTTTAACTTTGAATTGATTTTTCAGTTTTTCTTGTTTCTTCAGATAAATCTGGTACGATTTGTATGTAGAATAAAATGGTGGCATCTTTTTCTTATGCAAAACGACTCTACCATCAAAACAATATTGTTTGTAATCCATCACTTCATCTTTAGGTATTTCTTCGGGCTTTCGACATTCCTTCGGAGATGCTATCACGTTTGGGAAATAATTATTTTCCTTGCAAAGCTCAACCAAGTGAAGCTTTTTTTCTTCGGCAATTTCCTCCGGTGTTTTCTGCAACAAAAATTAGAAGCAATAACTCACGGATTTAAAATTATACTCGCACAAAAGTAATAATTTACCTGTTTTAGTAGTCCCAAGAAGAATGCTTTTAATATCTTATTTACGTTAGTTGATCCTTCCACTTTGGCATACATGTTTTTAATTCCAATAACCTCGCAGATGGTTTTTATAGCCCTGTGGCAAATTAGTCCATATCCTTCGGGCTTTTGATAAACGAATATTTTTGTCGTATCGAATTGAGTGAAAAAGTCGTGGCAAACTTCAATCAAACAATAATGAGTATAAATAAATATAAAATAGATCTATTACCTGTATGGTTTCTAAATAGTTTTACGTGCATTAGCTTCTGAGCAGATCTATTCTTTGCTTTTCTCAATGCTATTCTGGCGTCACTTCCTTTGGCCAAAGCGAATCCTGCTAAACCATTACCGTTACCTGTTACAACAAGAGCAGATTGCCTCCTTTTTCTTCCTAAATTTCCTTTCATATTAAATACGGTTTTCAGTTCTAGTACTTTTGTATCAAACCCTTCAAAAGTGTCTAGAAAATAGTATTGAGTTAGCACTATATTGAACTCAAATAGAATATGTAGCAAATACCTTCGCCAATTGGATCGGGAGACCCGATACTTCTACCAGGCATTTTATGTCCAGACCATCCCCTTTCTATAGGACTTAATTTCTGTCGTTTGACAATACCCATTTGATCCCTGAGTTGACTGAGTTTCTTTTCTCTTTCTGGATCCTCCGGTAATTGTTGTTGTTGAACTAATTCTTTGCCTCTTATTATAGGAGCAGACAAACCGGGCCATATAATATTAGCTTTACCGAGACCGATGACTTGGCCTCTGTTTAAATCCTTTATTTTGGACTTTGATACGTTTTTACCACGACCTCTTTTCTTACCAGCATTACTGACGGATGTGATTCCCTTCCACAAGTGTTGGGCCGTAGCTGAAAATAAATTAATATGTCTTTAATATTTATACTCAAGTGAAAGATGAAAATGTGTATGGTATAAGGCGAAAAGTACATACGTTTGCTGAAAAAGTTTGCGTTCCTAGTCGAATTTGAAGTGATAATTTGAGCATCACATTCTTTGAAAGGATTAACGATTGTAGCTACTAATTTACACCTAGATGAAATACACAGCTTTTGAAAAGTTTTGCTAACATTTAACATTTGCCCAGCCATGATTAAATTATTTATTTAGTAATTTTTAAGTGCTAATATAACCATAACATTTTTTTGATAGGTTAATAAAAACTTCTTTTTTAGAAAATAATTAAAGTAGCTATTTAGATACGTAACCAAAGACACGTTGGACGTTTGAACTACTTCAGTAATGCCACCAATAGAATATTAAAATATTGTCACATTTTTTCGTGACACCTGACAAATGATGTAGTTGTCGTTGTCATATTTCATGGCGCAAGATGTTTTTAGCAAAATGGCTGAGGAGCAGTGGATTCTTAATGAAGATGGATATTTAAATATAGAAACAAATGTTAAAGAAATAGTTTATCATCCTTACCTTAACGTCATCCTAATTTGTACACATACTGGAGTAGTGAAAGTTCTCGATGTGAATTCTGGCGTAATTCTGCACTCCAGTTATCTCTCAGGTAAAAATTAAATACACGTTCCTAAAATAAATACCAAGGTGTTTCTTTCAGCCCAAAATCTTTCGGATGTTAAGTGCAAGTACATTCCATCTTTGGACAAAGTATTATTCACAGATGGACAAGCACTGGGTGTGAGGTCTGACTACAATGGTGTTTTATTGCTTGACAGTATTCTTCAAAAGAATATCAATGATGGCATAGAAGACGTAATACTAGAGTTGCCCCTTTCTGAGGTAATTTAATTTTTCAATTTTTCGTTAATTCATTATTTTGATGTCGCCCAATTTATAATTATTTTTTTTGTAGGCCATTATTTTGCGAGAGAGCCTCTCTTCCAGCAATATCCATGGTGTAGAGGAAGTTATAAATGTACTTACAGAAGTTATTACAAATGCCCAACAACATCATAAAAAGGGCATTAAAGCACAGAAGGTAAATAAAAAAAAATCCATAATTTTATTGTTTTAAAATAGTTCAAGGCAAATTAATAAGAGAATAAGGAGCGCGAAACAAGTTTATTTATCTATTTCTGTTCAGTTTACTAACACATCTTTGAGCAGTAGGTTTAATGCGTATAATTTAAAACTGAAAGTGATTTATAAATAGATTGTATTATTAAAATAAACATCTAGATCTTTAAGTGTAGGCGATTTTTCAAAATATGTAATTACTTTTTTTCAGTGGAATACTGTTTGCCTTACCGTTCCTTTAGACGATTTGAGATATGCTACATCAACAACTGTAAGCAACCTATTGGCAAAGAACCAACATACTCCCGAATTAGGCATAGCATCGGCCGTTCAAGAGCGATTGTCGGATTTGCTAGGGGAAAAGGTCAATGCAACAGACAGAAAATCGATGGCAAGTGAGTGGAGACGAAGAGAAACCTATTCACAATGGCCTCATATGGATTACAAGTACGTTTAACAATATTGCTAGTTAAACGTTTTGGTGATTCACGCTTAATTTCAGGTGGGCTCTACCAGATCAAATGGCCCAAGCTGGTTTCTACCACCAACCTAATTCAGCGGGTGATGATCGTGCCATGTGTTTCACGTGTTCCGTTTGTTTAGTTTCTTGGGAACGTACAGACGAGCCTTGCAGTGAACACGAGCGGCACTCCCCAAATTGCCCTTTTGTCGTTGGCGAATACACCCAAAATGTTCCTTTGTCTGTCACATATGCAACATGTCCAGCTGTGGATGCGACTTACAACGGTTCTAATGTTAAAGTTCTGGGTCGTAGTACGGTGTACAATTATATGCCTACAGCAAACACAGATGGTTTGATATCAGTGTTCGATGTAACAGGAAAAGTTAAACGGGCTAACATCTTCTATGTGACGCATTTAGATTCGGTTATTTTGGATAAATATACGCAAGATTTTGCAGAGTGCCACGGTTGGCCTAGCAGTGACTTAAGTAAGTTTATTTATAATAGTTTTTCATGTTTATTTCATTATTGTTTTCTTCTAGAAAAAAGTGTAGTCGATAAAAAAGTCACGGCAATTTGTATAGTTGGGGACAAAAGCAGTAACTCAAATAAATCTAAACCGTCTAGACCCTCTGTAATTTGTGGATTGACTCTCATAAATTCTTGTCAGAAACAGTCCCAACTAGAACAAATAGAAACTAGCAAAACCGATTATATGTTGTATTTAGTCGTTTATGATTTTACTTATAATAAACATGCAGAGGAAACAACGGATTCAGACAATGTTCAATGTGATCAATCCTTTGTTCCACTTGAGGAAGTTGAAAAAATCCTAAAGGAACCCCAAGAGAGTTTCTCCGAAATATTCAATAATATAGATCCCTTGTTATTTTATAAAACTCTTATACCAGGAGAGAGTGATGAAGTTTTTATGCCACCACCTGTTACAATGAAGAAATCCCATAATGGACCGAAGGTGCTTATTTTCGACGAATACAACAGTGTAAATAAACCAGATTCTTCCTCCAGTAACAATCCTTTAATTACTAATGGACCGTTAAATAATGCACATAGTGATTTAAGTATATCAGACCATATAACAGAGGTAATTCCACATTCATGTTTTATCTCGCTTATATGCTTATTTAATATTTTTTTTCAGGTTAAAAATAGTACATCCTCTAAAAAACTTAGTTATTCAAAAGCAATTCAATGTGTTAGACTGCCGGCACAATGCAGGAGCAGTGAATTTCTAGAAGTAGCAGATATAATACCCACACATGATCAAAATCATGTACTCGTCGTTTTGAAAAGTTCGATTAGTTCGCAAAGTTTCCTGGTGATATATCCTCTCGATACATCCGATAAAATGGTTAAAATTAAAGATGAAGCAGTATTAGTTAGAGAATTAGCCAGTAATGAGAAACCGTTAGAAATAAATTTATTACCAACAATCGACAAATTCGGCGATTTATCTGAAATATCGTGCGACGCCGAAGGCAACGCTGTTATGGTTTGCGTCGATGGATTAGTTAGAATAGTTAACTTATCTAGTTTAAAAATAATTTGTTACGCTAAACTCGATTGTGAGGGATTCATTTCTGCTGCTTATGTCAATAGTAAGTTATTTATTGCGCGAAATAGAAGCGTTACTTTATGCTTATTGAATCATTGTAGGTTTGGATAGGCTGTGCGTCTCCACGGAACAGGGTTCTCTTCATTTTTACGCTCTAAACAACACGGAAAATGAATCTAGCGATGATCATGACGATGACGATGTGTTTGGAATGCACGTGGACGGCAGCAGCGTCACCTCTCCACCAACTGATGTTTTAGATGGCGTCGATCTTCCGAAATGTTTTCAAAAACCTCCAGACGTTATCCCGTTGCACGATTTGAAAACTTTAAAATCGCTTTGCGATTTCGAACCCCTGCGAACTGGTTATTGCGTGGTGGTGCCGCCTTGTTGGAGCGAATTTCAACAGTCTTTGAGACAGAGAAGACAACCGCAATGCGAAGGAGAACAAAATTCCAAAACGTGGAGGCTTTTAACAGACACCACTACTTGGGATGAACATATTTTCGAAATCACCCTACCGAATTCAACTATATTGGGTCACGTTGACGTTCATTTCACACTGCAACCTTGCAGCAGTTCACCTTATGTAGAAATTACTCTTCTCAGACAGAACAAGAACGGTATAGGGCATAAGAAAGATGTCAAATTCGCAGTCGATGAAACGGTAACAATAGATATGCTGCAATGGGTTGATAATCCCGTAACATCCCAAGAATATTTAAGAGCTCATAACGCAGATATACTCGCGGGTCCTATTGACTTAGCCTCGCACTTGGACTTAACGGAACAGAGCGGTATTGTTACATTGACAAGTCCAAAACTATGCAAAACTAAAGTCCGGAATTTACTACTTCACATTCGGGCGGTAAACATCAAAGACGACGATAATAAAAATAAAGCTAAAAAATTCACCGATAAATCTTCAAACATAAGTATTGATAAATTAGCTTTACCATCTAGAATGAACAATTTTTACATGGGTTGCGACGTTATACACGAACTTAGCATAAGTCTCCACGCAATTAAACATTCGGACAATTCGAAGGAACGTACCCAAGGGAATATGCTATTAGAATCTAACACAGTTGTTGATTCTTTGCTTCTAACCTCGATTTCCAGTACTAATTCTGAAGAAATCGGTCTCGTATTGGACATACTAGATTGGATAGCATCCATAAGATTAAGCAGGAACAGGAGCAATTTGGGCGCAGCGCCCAGCCAACAACTAGACTTTATATCAACAGTGCAGGAACATTTGACCACACTTTTACATCAGTGTTTACTACTCGGCGGAAGAAGCATTGCTCACAAAGTTGTTAGATTAATAATTACTTGTTGCAGGTAATTACAATTTTCTCATGTTGAAATTTCAATGATTAAACTATTTATTTTTTTAGCGGAGCGGAAAACATAAGTCCAAATTGCGGCGAACAATTCAATTCGATTGTGCTAAATTCGATTTTCTCCATTTTGGACTCGATAACCCAAATCAAATCTGCGGCAGGTCTACAATGGATGTTTTCTCTGTTATTAAAAGTATCGACAAAAAATCAAGAGGCTCTGATAGCGTGCAAATGTACATCTCTTCTGAATTTCATAGCGAACGTGTTATTAAGCAGAACAAATCCGTATCACTTAATATTAAGGAGCCGTTACGGCTTGTACGGTACACCTATGGAACCGGAATTGTTTGATGTCGAACCACCACCGTATGTTAAAGGAGACAGATGTTCAACTTATCTTCTCACATCCAATAATGCAGGACAATCCCCTCAAGAACCGTCTTCTCTTAGCGTTTCTAATGCCGCTTGCTATTCCTTTAACAAGGAAAATATTAGCCCAAAAGACGTTCTTTCAACATCTACAACTAAACTTAAATATAAAAATATCGCTTCTTTTCGTGTAATAAGAGGTCTCATTGAAACTCAACCGCTACATTTTTCTTGTATTTGGTCAAGTGAAGGTACAAGATTAGAAAGAGCCGATTCTACTGTTAATCCAGCTTCCTATTTGAATAATATGCCTATAAATGTTTCTTCGTCGACTCCCAACGAACACTTAGAGGAAAACGTTGAGAAAATCATGGATAAGCTGAAAATGATGAAAGACCAAGTCAACAAAGGCAAACCTGGATACAATAAGTGGGTAATAGAGATGCTACAGGAATCCGGTTACCTGGAAGATAAAACAGTTTTTGGTAAGTATTCCCAAATTCGTGTATGTACCCGAACTAAAACTGTTATTTTAAACAGGTATATCCGAAAATATTTACATTACTCCAAAAATTGCCGTGCAGGAAAATTCGATTACCGTACCAAACGAGACCGTTAAAATCACAACAAACTCATCAGAAGAAATAAAAACAATAAATAGTCACGTTAACGGTTTACCCTGGCAAGAACTTTTGACTGTTCCGCCAAAACAAGTTATTGTAGTGGAACGAATGCATTCCGGAGCTAGAAGGCACATAACTTTAGATTTTGGAAAGCCGATTTTATTAACGGACGTATTCATCCCCGCTTGTTCGGATTTGGTCACCCTCACCATTGATATATGGTTACACGGAGAAGATTACGATGAAACTCGTTTAGTAGTTGCTATGGATATCGGTACAAGAAATTTATTGCTAACCGATTTACAACCTCCGCCCTTATGCAGATACATGAAGGTTTGTGAAATGATTTTTATTTGTGGCTATGAAATACAGCACTTTACTGGAACTTGTATTTATTTTCTTTAGATAACCGTTGTTGGGCGATATGGAATGTCGACGGTTAGATGTCGAATCCCTTTGGGTTACTTCTACGGTCACATTTCGATGATGCCAGAAGAACCTCAACAACCTGTCGCCCAGACTTCCACCACTACCGATTTGGACAAACAGCTGGGAATCTTATCGAAGCTTTTCGAAGATATAAGTTGCAGATACAGCTTGGCTTGTTCGAAACTGAAAGAGCTTTTGCAACCTTTTATTATATCCGACATGAAAAATGCAGCTCATTTGGTTACGTACATGAACATTTTAAAAGATAGAAGTACTAACGTTAACAACGTCGAGCACAGCAAGATTTTCGGAGCTTATCAAGAGACTATCAGATATCAATACCAATTGAACATAATCCGGAGTGTTATGTTGAGAATCGAAGGGAACATAAGCTACAAAGAAAATCAACTCGACTCGGAGATATCGACCGATAAACTAACTTCAATAGCCGAGGGATTGCTCGAAGTATTGCTATCGATCGATTCTACGAACGAAATGTCGAACGAAGTGTGCCAGCAATTTTTCAAAGGACTTTGCATGACCCAATCGTCTAGACTGCAATTACTAGCTGCCATATTTTTGGAGAAAAATTGCGGGAAATCGCCGTTCTGGGGCGATTTCCTGGCCGATACGTTAGCAGAAAATTTTTCCACTTCGTGCATTTTAAGATTTCCACAAGATCGTCTGTTCATTTTACTTTCGTACCTCAGTCGAAAATCGTCAGAGAAAAGTGCTGTAATAGACGCGGCATTGAGAATCGTACATGATACACTAAGTCCTCTATCGACTAACCGCAGGCCGCTTCTCGCCGCTACAATTGACCTACCATTACTCTCCTGGCAATTGATGTACCTCTCTCTGCAATTGTCTTTATGCAAAACGTCCACGTCTTCGGCTAACAGGTGGAATTGGGTGCTAGGTGAAATGATCGGTGCTAAAAACGTGGATAATTCCAAAGCGAATAGCAGAAAGAAGAATGGTAAAAGATTAGCTCAACCTTCTGGTAACACGTTACCCGTAAGTAAAGCGATTAGTTTCATTCATCGATAATAAAACTTGTCATTTTCAGAGCTATTCGAGTATAGTGGTACATCCTGAAAATATCTATCAGCAAAAACTGAAAAGCATGTTGGTTCACGACAAATTAGCCAGGTTGAAGTATATGAAAAAATTACAGGACGAGGGCAAACTGAACAATAAAGAAAAAAAGGACCAATCGCCGGAAAAGCCGAATTTGTTATTAAAAACACCTCAGTTTGTAGATAATAACCACTGTTTAATAGTAGCAAAAGCTCTTTTACAATTGGTTTTATCAATGGATCATTCTAGTAGCGCCGATATGTTATTATTATGTTTCAAGGTAACGAGAACGAATTTGTACCGAGTTTATCCGCTTCATTCGATTTATTATTTCAGGTTATATCAAAATTAGTGTCGCTCGCAAAGTTGCAATTGGGCCAACTTTTGAAAGAAAATCAATTGCTCGAGCTAATTCACTTCTGCATTTCTAGCAAAATTCCATGGGCACCGTTTGCTTTGGCTTGCTTTTTGCAAGATGCAATTGAACTTAGCTCTGTCAAAATCGAAGATATCGAAATGGAAACAGATCCAACTATTTCTACGAATTGGTCACAAAATGGTATGTTTGATTTGCCCATACAGGGTGAAAGTATGTTACACTTTTCATATCGTAAGAGTAAACGTATTGGATTCAATTTAGGTGTCGCAACATTGAATCACCCTGTGTTTATTTGATCTTGTGCGCCAATTTATTATTTAAATTTTTAGATTTGTCTACTCCCGATTCCGAGAACGCTATTGACAATTTCAACGTAGACGCTTTAGTGGCTGAGACCTCCAATATTTCCAATATACAGACGAATTCGAGTACGCTTATTCAAAATTATAAAGATCAGCTAGATGTGGAAGCGGTCGAGTCATTGTTATTGAAAAAATCCAATCCTCCTATATTAAATAACAACAATTTTCCACCGCTACCATCTGTGTACGAATCGGAAGATTCGGATTTCGAGGAAATCTTGGACGATTCTCAGAAACTTAAATCGGTGTCGTGCAAAGGACCTAAACCGGTATCACTGTCAAATTCCGGATTGTCGTGTGCCATGGACCTGAGACTCGAATTAGGAGTACAATCGAATTCCGAAATAACTATTAAGAAACTGATAATACAAAACACGCAATTGTTACTTCAAAATATATCATTCGAAAATTCCCAAAAGGAAAGCAACAACGAATTGAACCCTTGGCCGGTTTCTACCGAAAATTTACCGCCCGAATCATCGTTGAATAACCAAAAAATGCTCTCGTATTGCTTCACTTCCTTGTTTGAAAATATCCAGAACCACGACCCTCTGAGAATCGAACACATTTTGCAGTTGTGGTTGACGCTAAACGTATCCAACAAATACGAACACTTTGCTCCCGGTACCATTCCGCAAATAACACTCGGCTGTAGTTCCGTTAACTATCTAATCAGCGCGATGGCCTGGACGCCCGGATTATCTTTGACCACTTGGTGCAGCGCTCTGCAAACTTTAACGCTGGTTTGCAACATGAACAACAGCAAAAAATGGTTCGATTTATCCGGCATGGCGAACACCATTGTCAATCACGCGAATTTCGTGCAGTTTTTCCTAAACCTCCTCTCCGGCACTGGCCCCGTTTTCAACGGAAAAATATTAGTAAGTTGAATCTAATAAAGGGCTAATTTGTGTAACAATAAGTTTTACGTTTTTATTAGGCTGGCCCGTTGCTGTGCAAAGCGCTACACGAGTTTTTAGTGAGATTACAAATGCGATGCGACGTCGTGAGCCCCACATGCAAATTGGGAAACCTCTTGAAATCGACGCTCTTAAAAGTTACTTACCAATTGACTCAACCTTCCGGTTCCGTCGCTTGCAGATTGGGACCTTTAGATGCGCAATGCAAGTTATTGCAAACGATGTTGTATTTAGATTTTACTAATTCGGATTTAAGCATCGCGATGAGCACTTTGGAAAGTACTGGTAAGTATAGAACTAACAGAAATAAATGAGAAGACTTGTAAATCCTAAACTGTAATCCCCTCATTAGGGTTTACAAGTTATTAACCCCATTGTACCAAAATATATACATTTTTCAATCAGGTTTAAGCGAAAATATATAAGCATGGACCTGCTGCATGAATTTTGAAGATGTCTAGGCGTTAATGTCTTCTCATTTATTTCTGATACTAGTAAACTTTTAGTAAACAAACAAGATCTTAAAACTTAAAACACTATAAATGTTGCTCGTAAAATATAATTCATTTAAAAATCGGTTCATTCTACTAATTTTCTTTGCGTTTTTAGCTGCCCTAGTATACAGTTACATTATAAATTCAGAACGAGTAAAGTGCATAAGCCTCGGGGAGAAGCAAGGCGTCATGACCAGTACATTTAGCGACATATTTGCCAGCGTGTTGGGCTCCGATTCCAACAAACAAGACAGGCAGGTGTCCTACGAGGATCTGCTGATATTAATGTTGAAATTGTTGGGCAAACTTGTTCAAACGCCTCTACCGAATCAACAGGTAAAAGCATCGCATAGTTAAATAACTTTTCTTTTACCAACCGTTTTTTGGTTCGTTTTTAGGAAGCGATGGATACCGAACCGGCAGCGACATCTCAAACGGACGAAAGTAAAGCGGAGCAAATTAACCAGGAAAGCGGCCGCTCACATAGCGCTGTCATACCGTGTTTTGCTGATGTTGTTCTTCAACATCATCCGACCGTCATAAGATTATGTCGTTGTTTGGCGGCGTGCAAATCTTCATCGCTGTGCATGCTCGCTAACGTTTCGCAAAAGGTAAGTTTCGTGCTTATTTTATGGTTCAGGAACTAATCGAAGAGTTATTTTAGGTGGCTTTTTCGACTTTAAGCGAACCGAATACCGTCGGCGATGCCATCTTTCATTTGCTAGCCTTATTAGCCAGGAAGGCTTCTTCTAAAGATTTATTACTAAGGCCTTTACTAATGTTCCTGTCGCAAGAACCGCAACTCAGCGAGCCGTTGTTGTGGTATATATTGCAAATTCTTGATACGGAAGAGGCCATCCAACAGTTCTTTGATGCAGGTAAACGTTTTATGCTATTCTGTTAAAATTGTTCTTAAATTATTCTTTTATTTTCAAGGTGGTATAACGATACTAGGCAACAGTATCGTGAATAGTACTAACTCTCCTAGTACGCTTTCAAAAGTAGGCACAATTTCAACAGTAATGCAGCATTTCAGCGGTGTAAACGCATCGCCCGATTCCAAAACCGCCGTTTCGGGTCAATCCACGCAGAAGAAATTGATGCAGTCTTCTCTTGAAAATAAAATGTCGTTGATAAACTTCGCTCCTTACTGTACGATATCGTGCGAATCCAGCACAGCCCAATCCGCCGACGTTTTAATCCAAGGCTATACGCACAGAAGAGCCCGAGCGGCCTTATGGTCCTATCATTTTTATCCGGAAGAAAACCACACGGAACTGATGCTACAATTGCCGAGCGCCATTCTACTAAGAGAAGTACAATTACAACCGCACGCCGGAAGCTTAGCCACGTCCCCTTCCTACGTCGCCCTGGAAGTTTCGGCTAACGGACCGTCGAATTTGTCACCGGTTTGCCTGCCGTTGCCCACGAGCGGCCTGACGTACATCCGCATGCACCTGCCGGTGCCCAAGGTCGTGAATTGCGTGCTGATTAGATTGTACAAGCCGCGCGACGCGAGCACCATCGGTCTCATCCAAATCCGACTGCTCGGCAACTACGCCTTCGGCGGTAACGTGATGCAAGGCGCTGACGCCGAGGACGAGTCGCATTGCAAACACAGCCTCGGCTGGTTGAGATTGTTGCACCATTGCTTCACCCTTACGACGGACAACGAGGCGAAGCGCCGGATAATCGAGTGCGCTTCTCGGGTTCCCAATTTGTTGACGACTTGTTGCGGTTTGTTGTTGGTGCCGTCGCATATACTGCCCGTTTACTTGCCTTGTTTGGAAAAGGTATTGAGAGAATTGGCTTTGCATAGCCCCGAGAATGGTTTCGACGCGATTAGAGTTTTACTGGACAGTAGATCCGGAATCGAACCTTTGATGGTATCCGACGTGAATTGGCAGGATAGATTAATTAACATTTCTGGTTACCAATCGGCCTGCGAGTTGCTGTTTCAGATATGCGAACATCAAGTAAGTGTTGCATAAGATAAACTATTTATAGCCAAAGTTTCTTTGTACATTTTAAAATGCATTTCTGTTCTGTTTTAGGATACTTACACATCTTACCGAGTTCAGATAATTTTGGAATGGTTAGAGATGACGACTTACGAAGCGGTGCTGACCCAAAATACGAATAATTGTAATGCCGCCTACTTTTCGAGCATAGCATCCATTTTGTGGACGGCGAATCAATCTGAAGTCGAATACGATTTGAAATCTCTCGTATCCGCGGAGCTTTTTAACTCGATCTATCTTTTAAAGACGCAAGCGGAGGACAATGCAAGCCTTAAATATTCCTTGGATTCGTTGCTTTGTTCGATTTGTTACATAATTCCGGAATTTTTCCCGATGTTATTGATGAAAATTGGAGTGTTGATACCAAATTTATCGACCGATCACAAAGCTTCTATCAGCGACGACAGAAAAGATTCTGAAGGTTTAACTGACGACAATAAAGGCGTGTATGAAGGTACTTCGGAATGGTACAGTCATTTAGTGATAGGTAAACTGTCGAATTTAACCTTAACCAAAGAGCAATTAGAAACAATCGCCTTGGTGAGCAAATCCCCCATATCTATTCAGCAATTATTAGACTCCGGATTACCTAAACTGTTAAATTGTGCAATATTTGAATTCTGCCAATCAGAAAACGAATCCACAGTGCCTATGGCTAGACTCGAAAACGTGACGAATATTCTGAAATTCTTTACCGACTTAAGCGACGAGAAAATGATGAGAGACTGGTTAGGTTCTGAAGATGGTTCTTCATTTTGGCTTCACCTCCTTAAATGGTTATGTAAAAAACCAGTCGCTAAAATATCCAATCTGCAAAGTGAAGCCCACGTTCATTTAGAAGAAGTGTGCGTGAAATTTTTATCGAAATGTTGCTTGTGCCATGCCGCAAATCAAGCTAGATTAGCGAGGGTACTTTGCGACGTAATCTATCTACAATCCAACGGTATATCCGGTTTCATGCGAAGATTAATACTGCAACTGTTACTCGAAAACGAAAAGATACCGGTCAGCATCGAAGCCGACGAAACTTTGTACAAAAGCGCAAAACTAATGCAAAGCTACATACCGTCACATCCAGCGTTCAAGCAAACCTACAATCGCGCCATGCTGTGTCTCAGCACGAACACGACGCTGCTGGAAATCCTCGAGCAGCACATATTCTTCAAAATGTCCTACAAATCGGAGCTGTCTCTCAACAAGAAATCGAATTTCGCGGCTAAAAAGGACATATTCAAGTCTTGGTTCGCGGTCGAAGAACAGGAGATGAGCATGGCCGCCGGCGTCACCGCCAAAGACAAACGTGCCAAAGACGCCAAAAACCAAATGACGGCGACGCCGCAATCGAAAAAGAAAAGGTACGCCGCTGGTTCGTCGAACGCCAATGAGGTGATCGAAGGAAGAATCATCAAGTGCGAATCATTCTCCGACCAACCACTGCCGCTTACTGTAAATTTGGGTCAACTTCTGAGACTGATGGAGTCTAAAGGAACTACCACTGATTGGCCTTATGTACATTTGAAAATCTACCAGTGCAAAAGTAAGTGTGTGTACGAAGCGTTAGAATAATATTGTGCTCACCTGCTCCATTTTCTTTAGATAATGAAGATAAATATAACAGCGAGGTGAATTCTTCGGTTCTTCAACAACCACCAATTTGTAGTGCCTTACAAGTATTTAGTTCGATGGGTGGGCTTGCATTGCTGGCCCAACACCTTCCAACTATTTATCCTGAAGCAATAAGGTCGGCTATTTTGGAAAAAGTACCACCCGATACATCCGACTCTGAATGGATTAAATTAGATGGTAAGAATTACTTTGACTTGTTTTTTTATTAAATTAAACGTTTATTAACGATTAAAACCTGTTGTTAACCAAATTATGAATTAATTTATGGTATTCCAGAATCAGATGAAGCTTACGAGGACATTCTAGAAGACGCCATTGGGACCAATTCGCCCACAAAATCATCTATACTCATTTCTCATGTGCCACCACATTCTTTAACTGCATTTGGACTTTTTTTAAGATTGCCGGGATACGCGGAGGTGTTGCTGAAAGATACAAAAAAAGCCTTATATCTTCTTCGGTTGACTTTGGGCGTCACTGACGATGGTGAAGGTACACATTAATTTTCTTATTATATTCTGTAAAAGAATAAGTTTCATACTGCTGATATTATAATTTATGATTGTAGGTGGAGATATTTTTACATCTCCTGTATCCGATTCTTTGCCTACTCTACCGTTCGAAGTATTAAAGAAATTATACGATGGAACACCACTTGGTACCGACGATGGGCGTTTGTTAAGGCGAATTAGTATTAACATAGGCGTAGTACATTTACTTTTAGGTTGTATCGGTATATTTTCACATCAGTTTAACGCCAACGGTTCAGATAGAGAAAGTTCGAAAATCAAAGAAGATAAATCGCAATTGTACTGGGCGAAAGGTAATATTTAAAGTAAATGGTCCGTATTCAGCGCTCCTTTTTATCAGTCGCTAAGAATCTCTTTAACAGAAACAATGTCTATAGTTACTCCATAACAATATTGAACAATTGTCAAGTTAATGAGGCTATTTAAAAGATTGATTAGCATTAAACAGGAACGCTGAAGACGGACCAATGAGCATATATTTTATACAAAATTTTGACACTTCAGGAACTGGATTTGGAACAGGCTCAACACAGCAAAGTTGGAACGTAGAACAGGCTCTATTGAAGCAAAAGAGCGAAGAAGAACATGTCACTGTTCTTTTGCAAGTTTTAGCAAGCTATATTAACCCCAACGACGACGCAGAAGACGAATTGACTGAAAATGTTCTACCTCAAGGGTTCTACGATTTATTGGTTCAAAGTGCATTACTACCTGCTGTTTGTTCATATTTAAGAAATGATTCAGGTAATTACATTAAAATTCTTATAACAATCCAATATTAACATGAACATTATTCTAGTGTTGGATATGGCTCGACATATTCCATTGTACAGAGCAGTTCTACTACTATTGAGAGCAATAGCAGTTAGCAGTCAATTGATAAGTTTGCTTCTACCGCAGAAAAATAAAAACGGCGACCCTTCAGTTAGTTCTTTGTTAAAAAACATGAAGAGCTGTGTGGATACATACGCTTCCAAGCTAAGGTAAGGTATCCTTTAGAGTTTGTTGTGGTGGATTCGCGAGATGTCTCTGTTTCAGATTAAATACGAAAAGCAAAGCGAAAAGCAAACTGGGCGAACAGTTAGAAGACATGGAGCAGGGCGAGGGATTGGCTACATTGATGCCCGACATTCAGAACACCGCAAATTTGGTGTCTAGAGTAACTACTGGTTTAATCGATTCAGATAGCTCATACGACAGCGAGAATTCTGTAGATAAGAAAATCGTTGTTTCTTTAGATGAACAGTATTTGAAAATTATGAAAAATTTACAATTTTGTAAGTTTCGGTCGTAACAAAAATGCGTGCACTTAGTAACTTTCATCTTGTTTTAGCATCATATGAAATGATTACAGAATTACCTGAAGGAGGTATTAAATTTGTGGTATCGCATCATTTCGAAAGTAATGTTAAGACGACTAGTGAGCAATCGCATCCCACTAGAGTGAAAAGGATAGCGCAAGAGGCTGTGACATTATCAACTAGTTTACCTTTAAGTTATAGTAGTTCCGTTTTTGTTAGATATGATAATTCGCGATTGGATGTAATGAAAGTACTAATAACAGGTACATTTTTTTGTTTGTCTTATAAATTGGTGTTTATTGTTTGACATTTTTAGGACCTGCCGATACTCCATATGCAAATGGATGTTTTGAATTAGACGTTTTCTTCCCGCCAGATTATCCATTATCTCCGATGATGATAAATTTAGAGACAACGGGCCATCATACAGTCAGATTCAATCCCAATCTTTACAATGATGGGAAAGTTTGCTTATCTGTACTTAATACTTGGCATGGTAGACCGGAAGAAAAATGGAACGCACAAACTTCCAGTTTCTTGCAAGTTTTAGTGTCCATTCAGAGCTTAATTTTAGTTCCAGAACCGTACTTTAATGAGCCAGGTAAGTTGAAATAAGCGAATCTTCTTCCTCAGCCTGTATTTATCCACTCCTAGACGTATGCTTCTTCCAGTTGTTGTCCATTTCGTAATACCTCTTTTAATTCTCATTCATTGTTTTTCCCCGATTTGTTCGATAAAGTCTCACTACACAAGCGTACAATTAATATTGATGTTGTTAATTAAAATTGTTTTATAGGTTACGAGCGAGCAAGAGGTACACCTGCAGGAACTGCCAGTTCTAAAGATTATAATCTAAATATATGTCAAGCTACTGTTCGATGGGCAATGTTGGAACAAATTCTAAATCCTTGTCCGTGCTTTAAAGAAATCATCCATGCGCATTTTTACATGAAAAGATTAGAAATATTGGCACAAGTCGAGAAATGGATCGAGGAAGTAGAGTTGGAAATAACCAAAGAGAAAAAAGTATCGAGAACAAACAAGAAGTCTCCTACCATCACTCTAGAGTCGTTCAAGAAAGTCTACCAACAATTAAGGGAAGCTCTGGTGAAACTGAAACCACCGCCCGAACTAGAAGAAGATGATGAAGATCTTCCATTAACTCCAACTAATAATATTGAAGTTGCTATTGATGTACATCAAGTAGATAACATGGAAAAAGACATGGTAAAAATGGTGAATGATATGTGCGAATGAAGAGAGAAAATATATTGCATTTATTATCATTTTTTACTGTACATTTCAATTTTGTTCCATACGGCAATATTTTATATACTTTTTTGCAAGTTTTAGGACAATTGGTTTTTATTGTGTACTTTGATTATTCGCGCAAAAAAATTGGAAGATCTTCAATAAACATAATAACAAAGTTACCATCTTCGTAACTTATGTCATTGTTGTAGATTAACAGAAACTAAATTATTCCTTTAATTCTAAAATTGTTTATAAATAAATAAATGTGATGATTTAAAATAAAATGACACCGTTTTAAGTTATTTTATTTACAATATTGTTTTAGCCATTCACTTTCAAAAAAAAGATAAGTCGGTCTTTCAAATGTTAATAGCTTATGTGGATATTACTTAAAATGAACAAATATGCAGAATTAAAACGTCTATAATTTCCTTAAATAATTATTTACATGTTCATTTAGTTGAAACCCTGGTTCTTTTGTTCCATGCAAAGTTGACTCCATAATTTTTAGGTTTAAAGTTTTTTTCCAAACTGCTTTTCTGAATGAACCAGGTCCATCCGTTTTTTTCACAGTAATCGATAGCATCATCTTTGCTTGAAAACTCCACCTGCATATTGGATAATGGGTCTCCACTAAAAAATATACATATATTATTTATTTCGTTACTTATTGATAAAATCAAAATCAAACAAAAATACTTACGTTGAACACCATCCCATCAAAGGATTCTCCCATCTCTCCCTCGTATCAAAATCTATTTGCCAATGACCAATATTACTTGTGCCACTTTGCATACAATTTTTAGCTGGTTCGTAAATTCTTACTCTTCTTTCCCTAATGTGCTCTTCTGGTACTCCGCTTATCGGAGATAAATCAGTCTGAAAGTCGCCAATATTGAGTGATCGAGTTTTACTTAATCATCTATGCATGCTTACAGTTCCTTCCACAGTTATCAATTCCTGCAGTTTCTTTTTGTGTTCCACGTCTTCAGGATTTAATAGAGCAAAATCGTTCTTGAGTGTTGTCTCAGCTAGTCTTTGAGCAGAAGTGGAGAGAGCACGGGGCACCCTATTATTATAAAATAAACATGTAAAAAATAATTTTTGTTGGAGTAATAGTTTACCTACCAATTTCCATTTACTGCACACTTTGAAACTTGTTTAAGCCTTAATAATGTTGAAGACATTTTGTAATCAAAATATGAATGGTTATTTAACAATATAGAAAATGGAAATTACTGTCAGTGTCATTGTCACTGTCACCTGTCAATTAGATTTAGGAGAGAAGAATTTATTTTTTACAGTATTTTATGTGGACTCAGATATCATGGGTTTTAGGTAGGTGTAATATTTATCAAATTTGTTTTATTAAAGCAAGAGTTTACTATACACAACAATGCAGTATTATTAATGCAGTACCCATAGAGAAAGAAATATTCTTTTATTTTGTCTATGGCAGTACCTTTTTAATTTAAACATAAAAAATAACAAAAATTCTTGTCAATAGAAGTAAAAGGCCAACGAATCCATTAAAGTATTTGAATGAATTTTTGGTAACTGGTCTTGAAAAAATCAGCCTGCAAACATAATTCAAGGTACAATTATTCTAATAATTTAAATGATCTTTTTATAATTAAGACTATTTCAAATAAACTTTTTGTTTGAAAGAAAAGCCAACTTCTTAAATAAAAGTTTAATGATTTTACAATATTTACAATTGAGTGGTGATATATTAAATAAACGTTTTGGATTCAAAATTTGATGATTTTATCTGATAAAAATCAAATTCATTCGTAATAATTGTACAAGTGAAAACAAACATCAGAAGCTTCTATTTATTCTGGTTTACAAATAAATATAATTAAATAAATTAGCTATAAAGCAGAAATACATCGAAAAATACGCATTTTATAGTAATGAAAGTATTCGAGTCTATTAATGTATCTCAATAATTGTATCAAATCAAATTATACAAGTTTTGTTGCATTGTAAAATATATAATTTCATATTAAACAAGCATGGAAGTAGAGCAAATTACGTTTTATTTATTTGAAATGCGAAGGCTTTAATTGTTATCAGTTCAATAATTAAAAGGCAAGAAGGAATCTTTCGATGTATTTTCTACGATTAAAATATCTGATCTCTCTCTTCATAACATCATATTCACAAATACAGGTCTCAACTACAGCACGCCTTTTTCGATTCTACCTTTTTTTAACTTACGTCATTTGAAAATTGAAAATTTTTATAATTTTGTACCTTTATATTTTCAACCACACAAATATGTATTACGTTTAGATCGTATATTTCGTTTTTTATTAAAATTTACCAAATAGTGGGTTTACACAGATTAATATCTACTAGTTTGTGAAAATAGACCATCTCATTGATGATATATTTCAGACATAATCTCTTAATAAAATTAAAGGAACCCAAACAAAATTATTTTGTCTCAGTTCAATTTTTATTTGATGGTATCTGAAATATTACAATATAATTTTAGCCACATTATCTATGTATAATCACATTAAAAAAATCAACTTGATTTACAACAATAATTGTAATAAGTATTGCTCAACAAAAAACGCAGTATTTTTAGTAAATTTTTAATTAGTTAATTTGCTCCATATTATTCGTCTTTGAATTACAAATAGATAACAAATTACTGAACTATAGAGTCAAAAAATTCTATAACTGTACAAAGAGCGAAGAGCACTCATTATTGCTGCTTGAATTGATTATAGAAAAGCATTAGGTATTTATGTTAAGTAAACTCATTTCGGAATAAGATGAGATTTATCCTAATAATCTTTCGGTAAAGTTAAATTTTGTCATCAGAAATTTTGAATTAATGAAATATAAAAGCAAGATTTTACGGTTTTTAGGGCATTTTAGGTGTTACTTTTCAAGTTTTATTCACTTGGATTTATAAAATATTAGATTTATCTGCTAGGTATAGAAAAGTCGTTTTGATTCAAATTTGATTGTCATCAATTTAATTTAAAGCATACGAGAAACTCTGATTAATTATAGTAAAATCCACACTGATGTAGCCCGCATTAGTCAATCCATTTTTTTTTCATTTTGGAAATGCTATTGGGTTTTCAAAAACAATTGTTTGTAATGGTAATAGCCATAAATCTTTATGTGCTTTTTTCTGCCTTCTCAATGTAGATTTCACTATACCTACCTAAATAAGTGTATTTTTTATTATATCTTGAATCAGCTAACCGGTAAATATCCCATGTAAGTACTTTTTTCTTCGCCTCTTTAAAAATATACTGAATCTATTTTTTATATCCAATTTGACATAAAGCAAAGTATTTTATTAAAAAACAAGGGTAAAATCTTTTGAAAAAAATTCCCTCTTTGATACACAATCCGTAGACATACTGATGTAGGTAGGTGTATTCATTAAATTTTTAATCAAAGGATATCGTGTGAAACAAACCTATTAAATATTGCGTTTCCTGACGAGCTCACATTAATTTAAGGAATATTTAATGATTCATTCATTGTGAAATTTCTGCCAACCTGTGGTAAAAACGTCTTGTTGCTATTGATACAAAATTATGCTATATTAAAAGTAGTTTTGGCACAAAATTTCTCAAATTTGGCAACCGTATAAAAACTAACTAAATATTCGCTATTAATATTTAACAATTAATTATTTCCAGATCTTGTAGGTCAAGCAAAAATTGCATCTGAACAAAATAAAATCGATAAACAAGTTGAATTTCAAATTGACCTTAATTAATCGTTACCGCAAAACAGCAATTCCGCCCGGCTGGAAATATCGTCAAATAGCCGAAAATGAAATACGCATACGCCTATCTCGAATTCGCTCTAAACGTCATTTTTGCGCGCTTGACCCAAAGAAACTGGACAAATACAACGAACAGGGGTAAAATGTATTGCATAAATTTAGTGACGGAGGAGCCCTTGCGCTCCTCCCTGTGGAACGCGCCGCCGTCGGAAGTTTGTATATAGAGCAGTGTGCCGTAACAAGAAAGAGTCAACGACCCCGGCCGGGTCCCGTTCCCGCTCTACACCGTCGCGACCCCCCAAACTCCACAAACGGAAAACTGGATAAACTGGATTTCGCAGTTCGCAGTGCAGTTAGAATGCAATGGTTAGAGTCGCAGCTCGCCTGCCTGCGTGGGGTACTAGGCGGAACGAGGTGGCGGCGATATATACTATATATGTATATATAGCGGTAGTACAACTCGGGACTCGGGACTCGGGAGGGCGTCCCGTGTCTTCGTCGTCTTAGAAGTGGGTCAGTCGGACGGCCGGGAACGCCCCGCCCCCCAGCTGATGAAAACACTCTAAAACTCCCATTATTTTCCGATAGTTTAATGATTAGTGGCAGTGGTTTTTGGTTTTTTTTTCTTTATCTTTTCGGTGCACCAAACGGTTTCTGATGGAATCAAACGCACCCTTACAATAATTGTCCATTATCGAAAATGCCAATTTTTGCGCTACACGGTCGAACAAAATTTTACTTCTTATTTCCTTAATAATTGTTGATATGCTACTGCTAAAATGCAAAACTTAAGTTGGTTTGTAAACTGACCACTTCATTTACGAACTAGCCAATTGTGCGATTATTATGAAGGAATTAGCTTTTTCTAACAGAACAGCGGTTGTCTAGGGTAAGGCAGAGAGGGTAGGGTAGGATAAGGTAGGGATTGAAGGGTAGGATAGGGTGTTTTAGGGTATCTAGTGTTAGAAAAAGCTTCATAATATACCGCTTATTTGGGTTGTAAATTAACTGGTAAAAAACGAACTAAAGTTTCCATATTAGCTGTAACAGACATTATACAGGTTGTTGCCTTATGAACTTCTTTACCCAATTGTTTACCTCCCCATTTTAGATATGGTGAAAAATTAATGTAAATTCAAAATTATAACATTAACATTTTATCTTAAGCATTTTGAGATAGAATTTTTCTATAGACTGTATCCAATCAACATATTTTGACTTCAACAATACCTCATAGCTCAATTCCTCGACCTCCTTAACGGGACACCCTGTATGTAATATTTTAAATACAATTAAACATAAGCGATATCGAATAAATCAAATTCCAAAAAATTACCTATACACGCAAATAAAAAACGTTTTATTAGGAATTCTTGACTAGATTTTTCAAAACGGGCAGTTGTTTATAAAATTTTGCTCCACCGTCGATCGTCTATCGTCGATTTAAGAAATAGATTTCATGCGATTCCGAATCCGAACAATGTGACAAAAAGATTCAAGAATTTCTTAAAACGAAGATAGATACCCACAGTGACGTAGCCAGATACAAACCTTCTGTATCGGTATTGAATCGTTCTCGTTTCCAGAAGTCGCGAGATTTTTTTTAACAAAAGTCCGACTAAGTCACTGCTCGAAATAAAAGTAATGGTTTATTGTGTTTAATTTATAAATTATCTAATATAGACCTACGATTCTTTCCATTCTCATGAAAAATTATATATTTGTATAATCAAAATGATTATTTCGATTTGTTTTAAATATAATCTATTATATCACAACATATGAGTTAAGAGGCTACTAGAATAAACGCGGAAAAAACAGTTATATTGAACATGTTTCGAACAATTGCGAATTTTTAACGATTAACAAAGTTGTCTAAATTTATCAGATTTATTCGCTTTTTTATTAATTTCTTGTTAGAAATAGAGGAAAACTGTAGGAATAAACAACATTTAATGTATTTTTCTTTTTTCGCGTTGATTCTCCCATCCGAGTTAAAATGGAATATTTGTAAAAAAAAGAGTTTAATTGAGCAATATACAATCGTAACTCAATATTTAGTCTAAACAACTTTCAATTCGCTCCAGGGCCAGTTGCGTAAACGTTGTTAAAGTGTCGTTAATTAACATAGCTTTATAGCAACGTATTCCGAATATTTTTAAATCGATATTTCATTTTTCCATGCACTAATCGCAGGTAAATGAAAATTCGTGTTCCTATTTTTCGTTAATTGTATTTTTAATTTTTCCATTTTTTTTGTAATTTTGATTTTTTTAAAAACGTAGTTAGTTTACCTTCTTATTTAAACTAAATAAAATATTGTTTTGCATTATCGTTTTGCTGAAAACTAAGGCTTACTAAATTATGTGGAGTTCTGTTCTAAAATTATACCAAAAAAATCATTGAAGCTCTGTCGAATAGACAGCAATTTAATAACCCCTTAAGCAAAAGGCCCAATGAACTTTACTATTCAATTGTCTTAAAAATATTTAATCTTAAATCGGCTAAGTTTCCGAGTACATTACACATAATTATTATAAAAAGTATAAAGCAATTTTAACCTATTCGCCACGTATTTAAACGGAGTGGCTGTTTTTTATTGAAACAAAGTCCTATATTTTAGGTGTCGTCGTCGTGCTTTACTCTTACACAACAACATGAAGCTTGGTATGTATTTTTTTTATAAATGATTTACACGATTTTAACAAGATCATAATCTAAACATTTTTTCTGCCGTACATACATTCAAATCGTACAAATAACCGGCTTAATACATAACTGTATAGATGATATTTTTACTGTGGCACTTTTGTCTCAAAATTTGCAAAAACCCTTTTCGTAATAATTTTCCTATCTATTGCAAAATTTCATCCACCTGATGAGTTGGCTCCACAAGATAGTCAAATCTGTATTAAATAGTAGGTGACAAATTTAATAAATTGGCAATGTGTTTATTATTTATTTTTTGTACTGTTTCTACTAAAATTCGACTGCCAGTCGCCTTACTGATTATGTAATTTGAGTTAAATAACTGATGTTCTCAAAATGTTTCTTTTTTAAATGAAAAATTAATTGTTCCTTGAATAATTGAAGGAAATAATTTTGACTGTTTTCTATTGATAGCCAAATTTTATTTTTTACAGAACATCTTTGATGTTCTGCATTTTGATAACGGCGCATTTGTGAAAATAAGTTATTTATCTAAATGTACACGATTTTCAGTGAGTAACAAGTCAAAACTTGAGCAATAAAATTTTAAGAAATCTTCTATAAAGTAAAAGTAATCACAGTGTACCAAGAAAAAACCCAAAATAAGATATATTTTTATAGGGTTGAAACTATGCCTTTAATTAATTACGTTACGTATGTATACATATATTGCCTACAGCATTTTAAAATTGGTAATAGATAAGTGGAAGACCAAGCATCCAATCGATTTTAATCAAATTTTGAAAAATGCCAATTTATTATTATCATCTGAATTAGGTATGTATTAATTTAATCAGTTGATGAAATTAATATTGAATGACGATACTAATCGTACTAATCGATGCGATTGTCTCTCAAATACTTATTAGTCTTTTTATATAACGACGGTAGGCAGGTATACACAACACGAGCGCGCTGCAATCACCATGGTTAAATATAGTAGGTAGTCAGTAGAGGCAGATAACGAACATGTCACTTCGGATATGTTGCGTAAGTACGTGGCGTATCTGCTTATTTATTTCGTACAGTCCGCTTTTGTGCTTGTTTGACAAATGGCAGTATTAGTTAGCTCACAGCCGATCCTCCTCCTCTTCTTCCTCTTCAGCTTCCTCGATGACACCTTCGTTTTCTTCCTTGTACCCTGGGTGTTCCGAGATGGCGTAGTAGTTTCCGTTGTAAATGACGCCCAATTCTCTGAGCACATCTCCCCTGATCGTCGCCTTAATCGTCCAGTTGTAGCAGTCTTCGCTTTCGCTCTCTCTGTCCAATCGTTCGACGTCCAATATCTTGGAACTAAGTCTCTCCAGAATGATTCCGATATCTTTGATGGTCAAATGGCGTTTCTGATCGACGCTAAGTTGGTCGATTAGCAGCAGGAACTTTTCTGAGGTGACGGCCTCGTCCTCCATCACGGTATTCTCTGTTTCGCTTTCAGAGCTTTCGTGTTCGGACATGCCGCTTCGACCGCCACCTTCAACGTCTAAAAAACGCACGTGTCTCGATGGCGGCTGCGGCGACGTCTGTTGCGTATCTTGTATCGGAGACGTCGCCACGGACTTGTGCACGGCGATTTTGCGGCCCTCTTCGTGGAGGGCGCAACAGTGGAAATCGCATTCGATGGTCCCGTTGCTTTGGGGACTACCCGCTCGAGGAGTGTGAGCGTGATGAGCGCACTCGGGGGTGTGTATGTGAATCGTGCCGCTCTCCATCGAACTACCCTGTTTGGATAGTCTGTGAACGGGTTTGACATCATCGTGGTTTATCACAGTGATCTGAGGGCTGGCGTAACGAGGTTGGGGTTGGGCAGGAGCGGGGACGTACCCGTCGTTGATAGCGGTTTCCTTCTTACCTCCCGGTCCGATGACTAGTGAGGGTCGTTTGCTAGGCGAAAACTTACCGGGTGCCGGCGACGGGGCCTCCGATGATAGCCTGGAGGGGCCGGATCGTTGATCCCAATGAAGCACCACGGTAACGCGCCCCCTGTTGTCCATGATCTTCCACGAGGGAGTCTCATCGTGAAGGTTTAGTGCGTGGATCGTTTCGCAAACTATTTTCGGGATGGCAGAAAGCGCTATCAACAAAAAGGTCAATCAATATTTTCAATAATAATCCGTCACCTAAATAATGTATAAATATCTATACGCCTTTACATAATTAGGCATTTTCTATTTACACATAACTAACTTATTTGTAATTTATAGCCTAATATTTACACGATAGGTTAAGAGTTTAAAATTCCCTATATCACGTTTGTTAAAATAATTTTAAAAAGAATATTCGAATATTCAACATATTTTTTATGAAACTGGTGATTGTTATACAACATACATTTATCTCAATTTTCAATATCTGTTTATTTTATTAATTGGATATGTAGGTAAACTTGTATTCAATATTTTTTTAAAAAGAATAACAAGCCCATCGTTAAAAATTTGTTCATGTTTTTGGACCAATAAAAATTTACTTTGCTTTATTTTCATGGTTTAATTTTTAGATACGTATCGCATTTCCGCTTTTTATATGAATTAATTATTTATCGACCGGAATTTGTTGTTGCCATGAACCTCTTTGTTTAATAATAAACTGTAAATCTGAATGTAATTTTTAAAAATTCAATGGAAAAAAGTTAGTGGACAACCCCATTTAAGTCATTTTTACTTGTAGGTTATTCAGTTGACCTAATATTGAAATATTTGCAAGATTTTTTTGATGTCTAATGAAGAGGAATTCTTTTACACTATACATGCTCTTATGGAGATGGTAAAGAAAGAGCACTAAGAACGTATTCCTGTGGAACAGTACAACAATTATATGATTGTTGCGTTACGGAACAGACTTGTTCTGACATTGTGATCTTGCAAAAATTATAATATAGACAATCTGAAAATATAGTTATAGGTTTTTTTATTTGTTGCGATTTGTAAAAAATACAATTATATAAAACATATAAAATATTTTCCCCATTTTGTTTCCGCAATTTCCCTGGATTAAATTGTTTAATTGCACATTTCGTCGACAAGCACAGGCAGAGTTGAGCAGTTGATTGAAAGCTGGTTTCTGTGTTTACTTATTGATCATCAGTGTAGTGTTTGATTGTTTTACATGAAGGAGGAAATTGCGGGAAATACCGATGTTAAAAGCATTTTCATTCGATACGTTTGACAAGTTGTAGCCTCCATTCATAAATTCGAATAAGTTTACTATTGAGATTTTCGGTAGAAATTTTTAATCAAATTTGAATGAATGCGTGAACTTCATAATTAAATAACTAATATCCAATAACACGGGTAAAAAGTTTCTAATTACACTTCCGTGGGGCTAATGGAAAACTATTTTTAATGAAAATTCTGAAAGGAGCCGTTTGAGTTATTAGAGGAAGCTATGCATCAAAAAACTAGAAATATACATTTTAAAAGAAAAAGTTATGTTTTAATTTCAAAGTATTCTTTAGATACTGATGTAAAAACTACACCAATATTGCTAAATCTAATAGTTTGATTTTTCTTTCAAAATGTTCTTCTCTACTACATAAGTTAATCTAAACACTAATGTAGGTATTAGGTACATTTGTGTGATTTGTTCAGTTAGGCCAATTATTTAGAGGCATAATTCCAGTAAGATAACAATTATGTAAATTTCAAGCTTGGAATGGAACTACAGAATATGTTTTAAAACATATGTTATAGAAGATTATTCTAAAGGAGAGTGCAACAACTAATTGTTAGAAAATGTGTGTATTAATACTAATATACATAAAAATTCCAAATCATTTTCAAACTCATTTCACACGATCTAGACAATGATTAGGCAAACCACCTTGTTATTAGGTACGTATTAATTAAATGAAGAATGATGATATGATTGCAAGTACTATCAGGAAATTAACACATTCACAAAACAAAAATGCAATACTATATAAGAATCGTTAAAGATCTGTGGAACTAATTTGACATGATTGCATCGTTGCAATAAAAATTTATGCAGTTTACTTTGGTGGATAATTTAGGTAGATAGCTAGGTATTTAAATAATTCAATACATCACAAATTAATCTGTTCTCAACACGTACCTCTATAAACATCCTCATCCTCGAAGTTAAATGCTGTAACAGAGTTTTTTTGTTAGTTGCATCGGCATAGTAACGAAATGATATCTTAAATAGGGTTGGCACTTTAAGGGAAAATTATGTTAGAATTTAATTATCAACCAATATTAATTATTAGATATTTAAAATTAATTGGATTAATATGATAAATGCTTATTTTAATTTAAGTGAGTTACACTGAAAATTGAACACCTACAATAAGATAAAAGAATATAGATTAGGTGCTTACTAGCTCTGATGACGTCGACGCCAGCAGGAACCCATCTTTCTCCAGGTCGAAGCAGCAGAAGAATAGTGTTGGCGGGAAGGGTGCGAAAGTATTCGGCGTCTTCGACTTGCGTCCCGTCGCTTTCGAGGACCAATCTCACCGGCTCGCCCAAAGATAACCCGAGTTTGTCCCTTCCCCGTTGTACTAGCTCGTCGAGGCTCCCGACCACCAACCCCTTCCGCACGTTACGTCGCCCGTCCCATAGTTTGAACGGTCTCTTTCCGCGCGATTCCTGCAACAGACAGATTAAATTTTACAAAAAAAATACTTAGGTAGGTACCTAACATATTGATTGTATGCCTCTTAGAAACTATGATTGTTGTAGGTAAAATGGAAATTGAATGTTTGTGGAACAAACGATTGTAACTTAATTTTAATGATAGATACTTTTCACAGTTAAATCTGTAATTACCTCTCTGTAAAGCTGTGATGATTATCAGTAATTATCTCGAAATCTACATCCAATAAATTTAGAAAAAAATGTGTGTAGTCATTGAGAGTTGTGAAATACTATTAAAATATCCTGAAATCATATGACGAGCTTTTTAAACAGAAGTTTTAGACATTTGGCCGGTATTCAGCGCCTCTGTTTAAGCTTAGAGTGACTCTAAAGTCGCGTCTCGAGTCCCTAGTTACTCCATAACAACAATATGTAAATCTGTCAAGTTAAAGACGCGACTTTAGAGTCACTGTAAAGTTAAACAGAGATGCTGAATACGGGTACTTAAACTTTTGATTTAGTTTAAATTTTAATAACTTCCACTTAAAGTTTTATCATGCACACACTCTGTGTAATTATATTTTGAATCAATTTTACACTGGTTAAAAAAAATTCTGCCATCGATGAATTGTTAAAATAAGCAGGATTTAGATAGGAAGTCGTAGACTTTAAAATCTTGTAACTTGTAACGAATTTGTATGGAACTAATCCGTGATCGTCCGTGTATAAAATAGCTGGTAATTTAATAATATATACATGACATTTTATAAATTATAAACTAAATTTATAATTATAACTAAAATTATAATTTTTATAAACATTTTCTGATATGATACTTCTGATTTTTTTATAAACATTACCTACAATAAAAGTCTTCAATACTACGAAATAAATTGTTAGAAATATTGGTTTATTCAACATGTTTGTCTTTCTACTTCAAACGATTGAATAGAACTATTGTTTAAATAACGATTTATTTCTTTATGGCAAAGGAGGAGTCGATAAATTAGAGTTAAAGAATTAACTAGCTAGATAATTTTCCCTTTAACAAAGTACGAAATCAAATAGTGCGGGGGAGTAATGGGCGTTGAATAATTACAAGGGAAGAAAATCGTTAGAATTTTAATCCGTATACCTAATGAAAAAAACTGAGAGATCGCTACCTTGGATACAGAATTATCCTGCAACACACCCATCCTATCCCCGCAGCTCACTGGAGTTGGAGTTACACGCGTTTCCACATCTCGCACCGACCTGACCTACTCCACAACCTACTGCACCTACAGCGCCCCAAACTTACGGCGCCGGCGTTGCCGAATTCGCGATTTTCTCCGGAGATCAACCGGATTTTCAAGGTACGATGCATCTATGTTGATAAAATAACCGATTAGGATACCGACTCAGGCGTTTCCTAATGTTTTAATGGGGTGTAATACCGTTTAAAACCGTCCTTCGGGCGTCCGTTCGTTTCGGATTGATAAGAGCAGTAGGAACATTAGCATGAAGAAGAAATTGGTGTTTCAAATGAATTATTTTCCCGGATTTAAGATTTAAAATACTTGGCACATTCGTGATTTAGGTCATAAGGTGAAATCTTCGATTTGACCTGTAAAAATATTGGAATTTCATCAATTTCGAGACAGATTAGAACGAAATTGATAATAATTTTTATCTAAAATGGTAAAAATAAAATTGTCAATACCTGAGGGCATAATTCGTCAAAACATTAATACAATTTTTAGTTTTCAATAAAATTGTTATTGGAACATGATTATGACAAGATCATAAGGGTCAAATTTCATTTGGTAGATTCTCTCTATTCATTATTTTGTCGGTTTTTTATCAACTGTATAGAATTAATTAGAATTACTAACAATGCAGCCTCATTCATTAAAATCAAAACATTTGCTCATTATAATAATTATAGTAACCCATATTTACCCATAAATAATGAAAAATAAAATGTACCTGTGTATAGCTGAATAATAGAACAAAAAATGTATCTACTCGTTACGTATGTAAAAATTACTTTTACAATATTAACAGTTCACCTTTGGATCTTTTGATGCATGAAATATTTGGGTGTACTTAAATAAAATAAAAAAATATGAGAATACTACAGAGAAATAACACAGAATCGTATTTTTTGAACATTCCTGAACATTCCTGTTCAAGAACATTCCATCGCTAAAGGAATGAAAGGGTTAAACATTAGGTTCTGTTCAATCGTTTGAAAATCGTTGATTTAATTGAAGAAAAAAATCTAAAAATGAACCATAATAATTTAGCCCTGTTAATATTACAATAATTTTACTGCAGATTACCTAAAGCTTAATTAAATTTACACGGATTTAATTTACTATGTGAATATAACAGAATAGTTGTATAGTTAACGTAATTAAATAACTATAATAACAATAGTTGACTCATTATGAAAGCTGCATTGAAAAGTTGAAAAACATTCGTATATGTTCAATTATATCAATTAAAAATATATTTTAGTTTTATTGAGACATAATTTAAGTATTAAAATTATTATTCTTTCACCTTGTTTATTATTCACAATTTTTTTACCTACACAATCAATTAAATATTTTCCGATGTAAAATATCGCAGTTATCATCATTTTACGGATGTTTTAATGCATGTTTAATATTATGTTTACTATATCATCCATTTAATAAACAACTAAGTTTCAAATTAATTTAAAAAATTAAAATTTAAATATACATGTAAAATAATATTTTGTATATTATTTGTTTTTGGCGATGTATCGTGTATTCGTTAAAGTTATTGTAGAAAAGACCGGGCGTAATCAAAATGGATTGTAGTAGTCAAAAGAGGTCCAGGGACTGTGAGAGCATCGCCCACTCACAATTATTTAAAAAAAGTCGAATTCAAAAATCTATAAGACCACCTCGTTGACATTTTATGTTCAACAAACAATATGACAACTTAAATTCGACGGTTCATAAGCAGTAGAACGTAAAATTAATGTTATAACAGGAGTGCAATAGAACAACACACCCGTATATCTAAGGGATTGTGCAAGGGAGAAATATAAAAAAAACATCAAGAAAAGAAACCATACCAGCTCCCTTGCCATCACGACATTTCTTTTCTTCGGCCGCCTGTTTGCCGGCCCGGGCCCGTTGCACAATCACAAAACAACTAAACCGAACCAGTCTGTATTTCTCCATGACTGGGCCTCCGATTTTTCTCCATTCTCCAACCAATTTTCTCAACGAAACGTTCTTAGACCCTTTCAAGCAGCAACCCTGCGATCAGCCCGACTATGCCGCCATCTATGGCCCGATCGATTCCGCGAAGGCGGCGCCGCGACGCTCGGAAAATGCGGACGCATGCGGACAAACTTTCTCGTAGGCGTATACTCGAAAACTTCCACCGCCCGGACTTTTCAAAATTCCTCGGTAACGTCCACGCATTGCATATTATAAACGACCGGAATTGATTTAAGGATTTTAGGAAAAGAAAAAAATTGGTTGATTTGATTACGTGATAATAGCTGGTATAATATGATAATTTGATTATAAATAATGGAATTAATTCATTAATGTGATATTCAATTTATTATGGCTTCTACTTATTTTAGCGCACTCTATATCGAAAGTAAGTAGCAAAAAATAACATTTAAAACACTTATTTTTAACGCACTACAAATTAAAGATTAATAAATAATACCTACTTGAGCAAGGATATGCAAAAAATAATTTAGAAAAGCTTCGTTTACTGGAACTAATACAGTTCTCAAACTAGTAAATCTAATTTCCAGAGGAAATAAGCATTTCTATGTATATTTATACGTACATACATGTATGTATAAAAAAAGTGGAAAAGTTGCGCGAACATTTTGCGAGATCAGCCGTGAAAATTGGATTGACTGTAGCAGCGCATAGAAATTGCTAAAACAAATTAGGAAAACCTAATAGAAGGTATTAAAATCCAGTAGGTATACGACTTTATCTATTTAACTTAAATAAGGAACATGTACATACCTACCTAAAGGCTGCGATATCCGAGAATCTCGCGAATCATGACAGTGCTCCGCTGTTACTAGGTTGCAATTAGTAGGTTTGCATTCAATATTTTAGGTCTTTGAGTTTTATGAAAGCAATTTAATTGTGTACTTTGATCTTTAATGGATGTATTGAATCTCAATGTAGGTATACTTTGTGAACCTTAATGGATTCTGAATTTTTAAACTTGTTAGTTCAATCAATGAGGTTTTATTAGTTTAGCTACGTAAGAGGGTATAAGAATGTTTTACATATGTTTTATTATTTTTCTATATTTATAATCATCTTTTTTAGCACCATTCTGATTTTCCTGAATTAATAATATGGATATAATTTGGAAATAATTTTGATACAACATTACAAGAATGATTTTTTTACAGTTTTAAAGTTTAAGTTACATTTATCATAATATTTTTATCATTTGTAGGATGTTAATAATTAAATCCAGTTTAATTTTCACAAAATGTAACCTTTTTCGATGAGTTGGTTGCGTAAATAATATAAAATGACCTACGTTTAGGTAGCTATAAATATAAAATTAAAGTTGGTTAATAATGTTCATATGTTGTTAAATGTCGTATAACGTAATTAAAAAATCGATTTATTGAGAGCAACAGTTGTAGGCAAATGGGATATATCGATACGCAGTATTTTTATTTCATAAATTCACGAAAAAGTTTTTCTACAGGGTGGTCCGTAAGTAATGGTCCAAGTGATGGGAAAGATTGTCGGTCTCAAAATATACTGCTCCACAAAAGTTAAGGAAGTTCACAAATATTGAGATTAATTCAAATGTTGCAGGTTTTTTGATCGTAAAATTTAGTATGAATTGTAGAGGAAGGGGCAAAAAATCCACTCAGATATGAGAAAAGACATTTAATTTCGCATATTTGAAAATTTGATGATCAATAAGTCTGTAACTTTTAAAATAATCGCAAAATTTGCGAACTTCCTTAACTTTTGTGGAGTAGTTTATTATGATCCGACCCAATTTGCTTTCAATAAAATATTGATACAGGATGGCAAAGTTGAAATGGAAAAATGATTTTTCGCATCAATTTGAAAGATTTTGGTTGTACGAACGTAAAAATTTGGAAATAGATGTTTTAAGATGATTATCTGAAATCCACGAATTCAGATTTAGAATTTTTCCAATTACTATTCATATACACAGTAAATCAAAAGAATTCTAAACCCAAATAGAGGTTTTGGAGATTTTTTATACATTTTCAATACAGTCACGAAGAGTTGAAGTTAAAGGCTTGAAGTTATTTTCTAATGGTAATTTTTATTTTCTTGTTACTAAAAGTAAAAGGATTAAGAGATTATACATACATATGTATATTTAAAAAACATTTGTAGTCTTTGGAGTTGAGTATGGATGATGCTAATATTAGTGGACAACACATGAGGTGTTATTTGATAAATATTTCACAGCTTTAGCTTGGTTATGTATGTATATTCAAGTTTATAGAACAAAATTGAGGAACCCATAATAATAATATGTAAATTACTCGAAAATCCTATTTATAGCTTCTAGTATTTTACAAATAACACTTGTTAAAATCAAATAAGAAATAATATTGATATTTTGATGTCACTAGTTCTAACTCTAAGGATATGTTTTTTATTCCGGTCAGAGTGGATACTTTATAATTTTCCAAAATGCTGCATCACATTCACCTTATGAACATTATGTAAAATACAAAAATTCAGGTTAGCTTCCTCATCGCTTACCATTCAAATACACAGAAAACGGTAAGAATTCTAAACCCAAATAGAGGTATTAGAAATTATTTTAGAGGCTCTTTTTCATTTCATTTCTTTCTCTTCTTCACTCTGTAATCAATACAACCATGAAGATGCAAAAATCATTTTTTTGTGCTCATTTTTTCTTTTTATTATACATATAGCTCTTATTACAAAGAGCGTTTAAATGCGTGTGGGCAAATCATTAAATAGTTATTTTTATTTTCAACTTTTTTAGAAGTAAATCCATTAAAAGATTTAGAATTATAAAAAATATTAAAAACTGTGTAACTGTGTTTTCAGTTATGAATCGCGTCCATTAATATTATCATATTAATTCCTGTTACATTAATCCGTGGTTTTAACGTATGCGAATATTTTTATGAATTATTATTTTCATTTGCTAACAGAATATTTCATCAACCTAAAATTATTTTTGAAGTCTTGGTAGCTACAAGAAAAAGACAATACCTAGATATGTACGTATATATACCAAATGATACCAATTTATTGGACTGTTTTGTTACAATATATGAAAAAAATTATAAACGCTTCCTATAATTTACCTTCAATTTTATCGAAATTAACACATTCACTTCTCAATATTAAATTCAAGCTAAAAATAATTAAAATGGTTAAAATTATGATTTAATCTGTTGTTGCCAATCAAAAAGAGTCGAAAAACATCATTTATTTTTCGTTCCTGAGATTCCACACTGAATGTCCAATTAGAATTTTTAATTCCATTGTGGACGAATATGAGACAACTGAATTAGACAAACTTTTTACGCAGTGATAATAGAAATTGAAACGTTAATTATAGGCCGTGAATGCAACATTCGTTTGCAAACTTCTTCGTTACCTATAAATTTTAAGCGCTAATTACAAACATACTGAATGCTAACGAACATATGCATTGTAATAAGCTTGACGCATGTGTATAAAAATTGCAAAGAGAGCGATTCTGTGTAAAAAATTGACACAAAAGTTGTTGTTGTTGTTACTGCAGAAATGAAGTAAATTCAGGATGTTTCCATACTTTTAAGGGCTAAAGGAAAAATATGAATATGTGACCTCGAATTAACAAAAAAAAGCTTGTCTGCATTCAGGTATTTGATACATTTTTTTGATGTATGTATTTTGATTTAATTTTGATCCCAATCAGCATTTAACCAATTCATATAGTAATCAATTTTGCCCAAAATAATAATTATTTTATTGCGCTGTAACGAGAATTATTGGGAACAAATTTACTGATATTTTGTTCCTTTAACTACCGTTTTTGACCAGGCTATAGTATCGCAATCTAGGAAAAATATCGATATACACTTGTTAGGTAAATAATATTTCAAATAAAATACTTTTCCTCACCTTCAAAGAAAAATGTTATAAGTATTTACAATAGTAAGCACGGAAAGTGATATTTTTCAGAAGAAACTGAACGAAAGTAAACAAATTTTTTTGATACTTCTAAAATAATCAGTTTTTAAAATCTCTCATAAAAATCAAATTTTATTTGGTAATATACATACCCCATTATATACTTCATCCATCCAACCAACGGAGTAACCAAAACAAGGTTAGACGCGTGATCATGAAGCACATTTGCATCTATTGGGTAAAATAAAAAAGCCTCCTTACGCTGGCTAATCACTGGTGATCACGCGTTGATCCAGCGTCTAACCTTGTTTTAGTTACTCCGTTGGTTGGATGGATGAAGTATAGTTATCCAATTCCGAAATTTCCTCGCAACAGAATAATTTGTCTAACCGAAGCAATTTAATTCCTTCTTCCATTTTATTTTCCTACAAACACATCGTTATTATTATTCGAAAATAATTTGAAAGGCAGACTGAATAGAGTTTTCAATTATTGACATTTTTAAATTGATTTATTCAATGGATAAAATCATTTTACAACTTCATTGAGTGAATGAAGGAGCGACAAACTTCTTCGTTAAAACGTTCAGGTTAATTCATTGAAAGGGGCTTTATGCAAAACTACTAATTTGTTAGTTAACACGTTTATCCAATCACCCCTTTAATTTTGCATCATATTATCATTACACTGATCAAATTAACTATAGAGACACTAGTTACTAGTTGGTCGAATCCGGTGGCGTTGACGTCATTAAGGTAATTAAGAATATTGTAGTACTTGACCTACCAAAAACTCCGAATATTGTACAGAGTGTTCCATAATGACATGCTAATATTTATGGGGGTGAATATTGGACCCATTCTAAGAAAAAAACTTCATGTGAACATATGTCCTAAATCTAAAATTTATCATCTTTTAGTTTTAGTACAGCCGCTTATGTAGCGGAAGCGTGCAAATGAATGCAATAATTTTTTGTAAGGCGAAACGATAAGTCGTATGGAAGTCAGGAAAATGTCAGGAAATCAAATTTTTCCTTAATTGAATGAGGATTCCGAAAATAATTTTTATTTCAATACTAGGCAGTGGCATACCATTTTTTTCTCCAAAAATATTCAATGCAAAACCAGTAAGGAACGCCACTGCTGAAAATAATAAAATTATTTTCATCAGAAAATTCATCTTGATTCATAGAAGAACGTGTACCAAATTTCATAAAGATATCTAAAATAGTATCACAGTTATTACAAAAAACTGATTTTTTTCTTAAGTTCTTAAGTTTTTACCTTAAAATAGTTTCAGGAATCACTCCCTTAAATATTAGCATGTCATTTTGGATCAGCCTGTATATGTATGCTTCTAACTGGTATATTAATATAGCTTTTATTACAGGTTCGTGGGATATCCCATTACATTACATACATTATTATATAATAATGTACCTATTGTTTATAAGCCGTTTAAGTAATTGATTAAAAGTAGATTATTGAATTTGTTCACTAGTGCAGTATACAATATTTTATACAGGGTGTTTCTAAACTACGTGCATATCCGAAAGATTATTTGGCTCATTTCATGACTAATGTTCATATAAACAGGTTCGCAAACGCTTCGTTACCTATCTACAGATTGTTAAAATTTCAAGATTATTCTTGTTTTCTTTTAGAGCTCCTGCAGTTTTTGAGATATTTAGCTCAAATTTGGAAAAACCCTAAATAACAATTATTAAATTATATTAGGTATAACAAATGTTGAAAGTGACCCCCCCCTTCCTACTCAAATTATATACTGTATACCCTATATTTTATACCAAATTTGAGCTAAATATCTCAAAAAACTGCTGAAGTTCTAAAAAAACAAAAAAAAATCTTGAAAATTCAACACCCTGTAAATCGATAACGAATCGTATACCTATATGTTTTTATGTTTATATGTTTTTTATGTCTATATGTTTTATACCTTTTCTCAGTTCGACTGATTCTCTCTTTCTACTGATTGCTGCGCTCGAATTTGGCCGCTCGGTATGTAGAATATAGATTATTATAGTACAGTACAAATAATACTTGGAAAGAGGAAATTGGAGCTAATCGTATAAATATTTTTATCATTCGACAGGGTAAGCTATTTGTTTTTATATTCATATTATTTTCTGTAGTTATAATCTTTTATAAGATTATAAAGACACCAATGCCAAGTTATACAAGTTACCGTATATTGCTATTTTATTAAGGCGGAATAGTTTTTGTAATTAAGAAATGTTTTTAAATTGTGGAAATTCATCTGATATGTGACAAGTTACCGCTTTTGATAGGATTTAATTAGTTTAGTCCTTAGTATTGAAAATTTATTTATAATTAAAAACTTAAATGAATTTCATAATCTGAAATTACATTCCTAAAATTTTAAACAAGCGGTCGAGGTATCAGTTTTCAATGAAGTTTCTTTGCCAGAAATTTGAAATGCGCTTTTAAAAGAAAATTCTACAAAAAATCCTTTAAGCACCTATGAATTTTCGCTCATATCTCTTCAACTGCTTTTTTTGCACATTGTTTTTTGAGATTTCATTTTTTGACAGACAATTTAATTTCTACATTTAAAATTCTACATTCTGCGTTATTATTTTTTTATTCAGTAGTTTTTTTAAAGATTTTTGAAATGTTCACGAATTCACATACAAATAAAGTACACGTAATGCTTATTAGTTTTATTCCAAAAAATATATTTTATTTATCCGAGAAATTTAAAGTTCCTTCGTCAGATCAATTGACACAAATTCCGTTAGAACATAACGTTGTTAAATCTTTGATTTTTCCTTTAATCTACAATTTTTACTTCTGCACATTAAATTAATTGCACACTTTAACTTAAACAATTTTTCAAATTAATTTGTTTAAATTAAATTTACGTTTACACATAACACAACTTACCATATTACATTCCGTTTTTAGGAAAAGCTTGGAAAGAGTTAAATATTTCACAGAATAGGTATCAGTGCGCGGAAACCGAACGGGTAACGGCCACCGAAAGTACCTAGATTTTGATTTGAGCGAGTCGAACGCCAAATGGATAATGTTTATGCCGTTCCTGCAGGCGCATTCGCGCGCTTACCTTTTGATGTCAAGGAAAACCAACCTTTGCCTAGTTGGTCCCCCACTTTTTAAAGGGAATAATAGAATTGTAGATTTAAACGCTATCTACGCATCTTCCGAAAATGCAACTTTAATATGTTGTGTTTGTTTTATAGCACAGGAACAAATAGTAATTCTGATGAGTTAACGTTACTTGTTTTGTAGATTTTTTGGACCAATTTGACAAATATAAATTGCATGAAAAGTTGCTTTACTTTTTGATTTAATTTTTAGTTAAAAAGAGTGGTAATACTTATTTTGTTAGACTTTTTTTAAATATCGTATGTAGGTATGTATTTCTATTTTCAGCTCTTAAATACTACTATCCAATTATCTCTTAAGAAATTTTGTATAAGATGATCCAAAATGTGCAAAAACGTAAAATTAAGTGCAAAAAGTTAAATTAAACACAGTGGTCTGTATTCAGCGCCTCTATTTAACTTTAGAATGACTCTAAAGTCGCGTCTCGAGTCCCTAGTTCTAGTTACTCCATAACAACAATGTAAATCTATCAAGTTAAAGATGCGACTTTAGAGTCACTCTAAAGTTAAACAGAGGCGCTGAATACGGGTCATTTTTATTAACTCTAATTAATTTGTGGTTTCTGAATATGCAGGTCTTTTATTATACATACATGCAAATTTATTATACTGGGCTGTAGTAACCTACAATTATAGGCGCTGTTTTTTATCTCACGTAACCTCACTAACCTCCAAAACGAAAAAGAAGAAGAAAAATAATTGTAACCCTACTTTTTTGCACATGGAATCTGTGATTCGGTGTGCTTATTAATACTTTTTTGCTATTCCAATAAGTAAATATCAATGGGTAGAAAAGCTAAATTTACCGAAGGGGTGGTAGCTAAAAAGGGACCAGGTAGAAAAACAAAAAAACAAAAGGATCCTTTATTTTCTAAAGCATTAATCGGTAAGACTGCAATTTGTATAAAACGTGCATGTTTAAACACTCTCTATTAACTTTCCAGATGCCAAGGAAAGTAACGATGCAAAACTAAGCAGCAGGCAACGAAAACGAGCCCGGAAAAGGATACAAAAAGTAGAACAGAGAAAGGAAAAGCAACTGTTAAAAACTCAATCTCCTTCACCTCATGACAATTCTAAAGAATCTTCAGAAGAATCGTCTGATGAAGAAGAACTTCTATTAAAGCCCAGTAAAGCCGGATTTTCTGATCACAACAATCAATGGCTGAAGCCCAAAAACAAGACCAGTTCAAAACGCCAGCTACACAAAACGGTGAGTATTTCGTAAAAAGGCTTATTCACTTATCGAACAAATTCTTCCATATAATGTATTTCAAAACAGGCTGAGGATGAGTCAGATTCTGAAGATGACGAAATAGAAGATGAGAATGAAAATTCAGAAGCGGAAGTTGATGAAAGTGATGAAGATATGGAAGAAGCTGAAGATGACAGCGAGGAGGATCAAGATGAAAGTGAGGAAGAGCAAGATTCAGACGAAGAATCCGACAATTTGAAGGTTCAAAAACTTAATGACCTAGATAGTGACAGTGACTCGAACGAGGAGGATAATTTTTCGCCGGAATCCGATGACAATGACGAAAACGATGATTTACTTCCCATCGAGAAAGAAAGTAAGAAATTAAAGAAGCGACAAGAGAAAGAAGATAAGCTCGCCGAAGAAGAACTCCAGTTAAATATAGCCAATCAGGAGAAATTTATCTTCCCCGCTAAAGGTTCCGAAGATGATGTGAAAAGTTTACAAGACGTTCAACAAAGAATACGGGAGATCGTTTCGGTACTAGCCGATTTTAAAAAGTTGAGAGATGGAAAACATTCCCGATCCGATTATCTGGAAATCCTAAAAAACGATTTATGCACTTATTACAGCTACAATGAGTTCTTAATGGACAAACTGCTTCAACTATTTCCTTTATCGGAGTTACTAGAATTTCTAGAGGCAAGTGAAGTGCAGAGGCCGCTTACTATAAGAACAAACAGCCTCAAAACGCGACGTAGGGATTTGGCCCAAGCTCTAATAAGCAGAGGCGTTAATCTAGATCCCATTGGAAAATGGAGCAAAGTGGGGCTCGTAGTTTATTCATCCCAGGTACCGATGGGAGCTACTCCGGAATATTTAGCAGGCCACTATATAATCCAGGTAAATTTCACAATTAAAGATAATTCGAATTTCAACTAAACTATGTTAATATCATTTAGGGTGCTTCAAGTATGCTTCCCGTAATGGCTTTAGCTCCACAAGAAAATGAAAGAATTTTAGACATGTCCTCGGCCCCCGGTGGTAAAGCTTCACATATATCCGCCATTATGAAAAATACAGGGGTTCTTTTTGCCAATGATATAAATCGAGACAGGATAAAAGCCGTCGTCGGTAATTTCCATAGAATGGGAATTATCAATTCTGTTATAACATGCATGGATGGAAGAAACTACCCCCAATATATGAAGGGATTCGATAGAGTGTTGTTAGATGCACCTTGCACAGGTAATTTCACATACATTAATATTATTGTATAAAAAATAACACAATATTATTCAGGTACTGGAGTAGTAGCCAAAGATGCTAGCGTGAAGACAAGCAAAGACGAGATCGATATACAAAGGTGTTATAATCTTCAGAGACAGTTACTTTTAGCTGCTATCGATTCTGTTAGCGCTAAATCTTCCACAGGGGGTTATATTGTTTATTCGACTTGCTCAGTATTACCGGAGGAAAACGAGTGGGTAATAGATTTCGCACTGAAGAAGCGTAATGTGAAATTGGTATCTACAGGACTCGATTTTGGAACTGATGGTTTCGTTAACTACAGGCATTACAGATTTCACCCGACGCTTAAACTAACCAAGCGATTTTATCCGCACACTCATAACATGGATGGCTTTTTCGTTGCTAAACTCAAAAAGTTTTCGGATGTTATTCCAAAATCGAGTAACGATACTGATGAACCTGCTGAAGATATCGAAGATTCTAAAAGGGCTGCAGAGGTGTCTGACGAAGAAGAGGAAATTGAGAGTCCTAAAAAGAAAGCCAAAATATCTGAAAATGGGGTAAATGTCCCTACTAAATTAAACGGTATTGAGAAGAAAACAAAAAAGCTGGATAAGAAAATAAAATTAGTAAAGGGTACTAAAGAAAAAGTCCAAAAGAAGAAAGCGAAAATCGTTAACCAAGAACAAATCTCTGAAGAAGAATCTAATAATACTAAAAAAAAGAAAAGGTCCAAAAAAGCTGACAAGTTAGATAATTCTAAGACTAAAAATGATAACCAGGCGAATAAGAAAGTTGAAGGTATAAGTAAAACGAATAATGTCAAAGCAAAAAATAAAAAATCAGAAAATATGAAAAATATTTCCAAGGAATCAAAAATTAAAAATCAAGCAAGCCCCTCATTAGAAAGGGTTGATGATTCAACAGAAAAGGATAAAGGAAAAAATAAAAACAAAAATAAAAAACTGCAAAATAAAGCAGTCGATAAAAAATCGAAAATATCATCCAGTAAGAAATCAGATTTAATAGAATGGACTGATGTTCCCATGGATGCAGCGAAAAAAATTTCCAACAAAATGAAGAAGAACACTAAGAAGACTATTGGCAAACTAAAGCCCCGGAAATCGGATAAAAGCAGTAAAAAGTTTAAGAATAAAAAATAGGCAAATTTGTTTACGGTTAATCTAAGTCCACTGTTTGTTTGGCATTTAATATAAATATTTTATTACACATTAGTTTTATTTTTCTCTACAGGTTATATGTCAAAATATTGGAAACAAAAAGTTCTGTTTGTTCTACTTTGGCAATTTGGCTTTCATGGTATTTAGGAAATCCATAAAGCTAGATTACCAAAGCAGAAAGTGCAGAGAATCTTCTTCGTTAAATAAAAAAAAAATGAGCGAGTAAAAAGAGTTAAAAATCAATTTAGTTCTGTTCCAAGAGTATCTCAAGGCAGGTATATTGTATTTACACCTAAACGTGATATAAATAAGAATGAGTATTTAAATTCCAATCAAGAGAAATCTCAACTAAGAATATTGATCTATGAATAGAGGGAAATTTCATTAGCAAATATAGTCGGTGCAAAACAAATATCAATGCACGTCACTACTGTCGTCATACTTGCCAAGCATTGTGACTAATTTTTATAAATAACTACACAAAATAGATTAAGCTTAATACCTGCAGAATTTAATTTAAAACACTGCCTACGTGTGACTTAGTAAATGTGCATTGATGTTTGTTTTGCACCGACTATATGAAGGGTACAGGGGAGGAACGACAATAGTTCAGAATATCGAACACAATATTGTTTATTCCATGCATTCTATTGTTCTGAAACGTTATTGGAATATTACTAGGTACCTTTGAAGTAAATTAAATCGAATTAATAATATTTTTTCACAATAGGCCCTTTGTGACTAAAGCGCTTTCATACAACTACTTGAACCAAATGAAAAGGCAGGTATGTATTCCAATCCGCGGACGTCATCGAATAAAACAGGCTTGATAATTTAATAACATTTCCATTGTCGTGGTTTAATTTAATTCATACTTATCCCTGTATTAATTATGTCATTGATGTGCGTTCTGTTCTGCAATGGAATTCGAAAATACTAAAGTTCCTATGGCAACAGGTAAATTGATTGATCGATGTCTTTCAGTGCCATTGCCGAATATTTAGGTGAAAATGTTTTGGGGTTCAACTCCAGCTGTAGATTTGCTAGATGAATATACGAGGGTCAAAAACGATGTACCTGATACTCTCAACGTCCTGATAGTGGGTAGTTCAGATTGCAGACACTTCCTAAAAACCGAGGCCCGTAAGTACAGGCACAAGCCCACCAAAATAAATTTCTTCGTAGTCGAAGCTTGCATGGAGGCGGTGGCCAGGCAATTGCTGCTGTTAAACGTAGCCCTACAGCCCCAAGATTCCCTCGGCCTGGACCAGAAAACCAAAATTTTCATGGAATTGTACGGCAACACGTTAGTCCGACCGTCGGTGGCGAAATTTTTAAACACGGCTGCTGCAGATTTGATTAAAATGGCGACGAATTACTCCTACCTCAGCGATATGATGAATTTCGTTAAACTAGACATCAAATACAAAGAGCGCGACTATTTGGAAAACCTCCTGAAATTCTGGTACGCTAAAGACGAATTCGACATTTACACCATTTGGGACAAAAGAGTGAGGAAGCATTTAGGCGTAAGGTACGATTCTAAAGCAGCCGCTTTCGACTGGGATCTGCACATGAGACTGCACGACGTGGGCGCTAAGCAAATATGCGGCCAGGAATACCGCAGCTTCAGATCGAAAGGTGTCTCGTTTACTTGGCTGGAATCGGACGTGTCCCGACCTAATCGCTCTTTGGTGTGCGCTATTATGCCGAACGGCACTCACTTTGTTCACTACGGATATTTGGGGGACGTCATCAACGGCCCTTTCGTGAATTTCGGTTTGGAGTGCGAGGATAAGAGTTTCCTGAAATCGATGCACGGTCAAAATGACTTCAGAGCAACGGACGTCACCGAGAGGAATTTGAAACAGATATTTTACGAAATCCAGAACCAAAAGCCGTTTGATATCAAAAATGCTACCGATACTCTAATGGGAAACGTTGTAGTTAGAGAAGAAAACTTGGTGGTTGATGCAACCGGGCTCGATTTTATTCCGAGGCCGACGAAGAAGTGCATAGAACTCGAAGATAATTTAACAATCTATTCGGTGTCGATTCTGGAAATTATGCGGTACAAGGATAAATATCACGACTTGTTCGATTTGATTTACTTCGGAAACGCCTATTTAAAATATTTCGATAGCGAAATAATATCTAAAATATCCAAACCGAAGACACTGCTTATCATTGAGCACCTATTGTTCTCGGCGACGCTTCGAAAGAAAGAACTGGAAGAATTTAAAGATGAAATTAACGAAGCCGTGAAAGGGTTAAATTTGGAGAGATTGGAATTTAATTACGAAAAAGATCCTTATGCTAAGTTCATTTTGGAATAATACATTTAAGTTTTTTTAATTAGTTTCATTTCTTCGCCTGATACCCACGTTTTCATTATGGTTTGAAGGAATACGATTATAGGAATACGGGGTTTGAAAGAATACGAGAATCAAATTGCTACCTTGTAAAGCCATCTGTGGTACAATTCCTTTAAACATAGACAAAATCAATATTTCCCTCGCAACTTTGGCCGTTAGTGTTCTGCTCGATTTCATTAAAATTATCTATTGCGATGATTTCGTAATATTTAGAAGATGTAAGAGATGTCTCATTTATGTAAGATCTGTGTAATATTATGCGTAAAGTCTAGTTCCGTACTTTTTGTTTTTGGATATATTTTTATAGTGTAAAAAATGATATCTTTAGTAAGTCACGCTTAGGTACTTTCAGATATACAATAATAATATTAATACAGGGTGGTTCAAATGAACAAAATTTATAAGAAATGTTATACCCATAGAGAAAGAAAGATTTTATTTTGTCTATGGTTATACCTTTATTGTGATGTCATCTATGCGCTCTCGAATTATTGGTCTCAGATTTCTGGACACCCTGTATATTTATGTTCACATTTGAAAAATTTTTGGGCTTTCTTTTAATTAATTATCTTGAGGGATGCTATCAATATTTTACTTTTACATAAATTCATAGAAAAGAGCGAGAGATAACACATAATTCTTTCAAGGGGATGACACAGTATAGTTGTAAATCAAGTAGTAGTCCCTGGGATCGTTCTTAGCGCCTTTACTTGTTTCCGTGGAACAAGAACACGAGCAGGAACTGAATTACTTTGAGGCCCAGCGCGATCAATTTTAAGTCCTTTTAAAGCTCCTTAGAACATATGGTCTTAAATAAATGGTTTCATATAAAAGCCTACGGAAACAAAATACAGAAGTGGAGTAGCCTAAAAAATACCCAAGAACACAGGAATCTGAACTTGTATATCTAATTTTGTACATTGTACCTACAGAGAATTATCATAACAAATTGATCGGGCTGGAAATAATTAATGAATTAAAAAATACAACAAATATTTTAAGTTTATTTTTTTAACATCTAATTTCTTATATTCAAACTAATTTATTAGTTACTAATTTAACACTTCTTTGTCACCACAAGGTCAAATCTTTATTATCTAAAATATTAGGTATATGTTTTGTTATAAAAAAATTCATGTCATCATTAGCCTAAAAAATAATTTCATTCGATCAAAAATCGATATACACTAAAATAATTTCGAAAACTAACGTACACATAACACGTGTGATTTACATAATAAATCACAAGAATTGTTATATAAATTGTACAGTAAATTAATTAATATGATAATTATCGTCTATAGGTCTATCGTATTCGAACATTTTACAGTATCGTGTTTGGTTTTTAACCGTGACAATATTCATTTTATAAATATTGTTGCACTCAAATGTATAATGTATGTATATCAATATTATTTCATACAGGATACAGGATACATACGTAAGTACGTATACCTATACTGTACTAACCATGCATGTTTATTTTTTATCTACAAGAAAACTAGAAATTGTTATGATTCATTGGATTTTTTATACATTAGAATTGACGCACGCGTTTGAATGAAAATAAACGCATACGAATATAAAAGTAAAAAAACCTCACATTACAATTTCATGGAATTAATAATAAATTTAAACACAAAATTTCTTAGACGTTGTTAGGAAGACTGCGGTTTTGTTTATCTTTAGTTACAATGCAAATGTCGAAATCCCAAGGTTCCACGTTACCCAGACTTCATTTCATCGATTAAGATCAACGAGAATCGAGTTAAATTCACAAGTGGTCAACATGAAGTTAACCATTTTGTTCAGTTTAATGTGTGTAACCTTAATAGAATCGGTAAGTTTTAAATAAATTATAATTTTTAATTTAATATAATACCGCGTGGACATGAAATTTGTATTCAGGCCCTTGACTTTGATTGCCAAAAGCGAATTTGGGACATTTGCTACGAGGACGCCTCCTATCCCTCCGAGGAAATTGACAAAAAATGGCGCGACTTGAACGAGGATAAGCAGATGAAATTTGGCAAATACGTGGATACCCATTGGGAAAGTGAGGTCATTTTGGAACCGTGTAAACTCTGCAGCATCGAGACAAGTATAAAAATCCAACCGCTTAGTTTGATACGTGATACTGAGAAGATTTATTTATTGAGCACTAACAAATATCCCATTCCAACAATTCATGTTGAAGTTTGCAGGTAAGTTTCACAGTGAACAAATGAATTTGTAGATATTTGACGGTTCTGTTTTCAGGAAAAATGCTAAATGCATGCTCGAGAATTTGCAAAACGATTTTGCAACAGATTGCATACAAAAAACGTCAAAAATCAACGTTTTATCCTACAATTCCACATCAAAAAGTTTCCAAGCGACCATGATGCAATTTCCAAGCGGTTGCGAATGCGTAATCGAGGAGAATGCAATATAATGCGCTATTATTAAATCTAATATTTTTTTAGTTATTAAATTAAGTTTAATTAATAATAATATAATGGATTAATACAATTTTTACCCACACTTATTTACTTATTTTCGATTGAATTTTTTTAAGACCTGGACTGTTTATCTTTCCCGAGCTTGATCACCACTAAATCCCGGCTTTATTACACTTGATAGAGTGCGAAAGAAAAGAGAGAAACGAACTTTTAATTAAGACCCGATGAATCTATGTTGGGATTTCTTAGAAATTGGAATCTCTATTTCTCTCGCCTTAAATCCGAAGTATTCACGAGAATCTCGGTCGTCTCTAGAGGCGTGTAAATGACATGAATTTTTAGAACTAAACTTTTGTATAGAGTTTAAATGATTATTTTTATTAATTGTACCCATTTACAATAAATCGAGCACTTTAATTAGCAAAATTCAAATCAACAACTTGTGAAGAATTTTCATATATTTTTTAACATTTAAATGAACTTCTCTTAAACGTTCGAAATGTACTTTTATAACTTTTATAATAAAAAAATATTACTTCTGTTTGAGTAACAAAATTTATTGGATACGTTCATGATAAAGTCTGCGAAAGATGAGATCTTTATATGACTTGAAATAATTTAATGAGAATTTTTTTGGAGATACGAATAAATATTCTTATAAAAAATGGTAGATTTCCTAAATTTACCAATCAAATACTTTATTAATATATAAACGTGCTCGTGTCTAATATTTTCTGACAGAAGTTTTTTTGAAGCAGATTCTTAACTACGTAGATACAAAAGACACGCAATGTAACAAAAAACAAATTTATTTCCAACAAGATAAACGAAAACAACAAAACAAAAAAATCTATATCCCTTTATTGAACATAGGGGAGACATTATTTGTATTTCCGAGAATTCAATTCGAGAATTCAAAATCAAATTGCTGTTTCTACACCGCACGCAAAATAAATAACTTTTTTGTGATCATGTGGTTGTTTATTTTTACTTTACTATATCCAGTACAATTTTACACGAACATTTTTCTTATTACGACATAATTTGCACTTTTTATATTGCAATCTTTATTTTATAAGAACATTGCACTGTTACTTAGCCAAATTAAATCGATTTAAAGACAAATTGGATGCATTAAAGTTTTTATTTTTTATTTCCAATGGTTCTATTCAGTTTATTCAACGTCGCTGACCATCTAAACGATATTGTACTGGAAAGTCTTAGAATTTATAGCGGTGTTCAATAAAGCTAATGAACCTCGGGGATACATAAATCTACGAATAAAACTTGCGGAAGCCTCACTAAAATAACAAAAACAACGAAACAATGTCGGATATAAGGATAATTTATCATAGGAGGAATAGTTGCAAGCAAGGTGGGTCGATTTTGCCAAGCAGAAGTTATCTCATATTAGGCGAAGTCAAATTAAATTAATAATGAATGTGTTATTTTAGCGTTGTTGTGGATATTTTAACAAATGTTACGATATTTTCAAATCAAGCTATTACCTAAATCATGGCAAAATAGCTGTAATGCAGTAAGGATATAGGAAAAGTTTTAGAAACTGTTATAAACTCAATGTAACTCCATAATATTGTACTTAGAAGCCATTACGAACTTTATAACTCACTTATGAAGGATCTTTCAGCGCCATTTTCGATTTCATCGAAGGATAGTTGTATTAGATTTTTAATTAAATCGGCATTGGCATCAGGTAATTCACTGATAGCCAATATTTTCTTTTGGGACTTGATATAACGAACTAATCAGATTAAATACACCGAATTTCAAATGAATTAAAATAGTAAAAAACTAAAGAATAAGATAATGAAGACTATTTCCAAGAGTTGTTATTTATTGTCAGAGACCTGTTATTTGTAATGGTAACATAGATCATAGTGCCTTGAGGGTAAACAACTTACTTTATTATAAGCCATCGTTAGATCATTATTCTTTCCGTTCTTTTCTTTTTTTTCCTTTCGGACAAACAGTATACGAGTTTATTTCACATGATGACGGAACAGGGACGTATTAATTTCTCACCAATTTATCAATATATGAACACGAATATTTCATATACAACATTGTTCATGATTTATAAGACTGTTCTTTACCTAAATTCGAATTAATTAGAGTTAAATAATTAATTCTGAATAAATGAGACTGATTATTATTAAGCCACTAGGGATATTTGTGACATTTTCATCATTTATATTAGTTATACTTGGACATTTTAGACAGTTATTATAAAGCCAGTTAGGCTGGCTAGATATGGGCAGGTCCAAGCCTGGACTTCTCTTATTTTAGAAGAAACTGTATACATGGTTATTTCATATGATGATGAAATGTTTTTGTAGACAGTCAATTATAAGTATTATGCTTTTTCGGGGGCGGCTTTCGAATTCTGGAGTCTTTTAATCAAAGGATTTGAATACATAAATCTCGGAATTAGCTTCATTTTTATGGGTTTTTTTCGATTAACGAAAAAGCCTACGGTCAAGTATAGTAAAATTATTCCCGTAAGGGAATATTCAATTGGTCAGATGTACACTACCTGGTAGTGATTTATGGATAATTTTAGAGATATTACAATATTGTATGTAACCTTTAACTTGAAGGTACTTATTTATCGAGAGAATTCATTTTCATCTATTAAAAATTGTATAGAGTTTGAAAAAACATTTTAAATAAAGTAAATAAATAGATATAATAAATAGTATTTAATATAAAGTGCTAAAATAAGTTTAAGGGACTTATTATGTGAAGCGTATTTTACTTAGGTAATTAGAAAACACAATTGCCGGAGTTATATCATACGAATCCTCATGCAGATGCTACCCCTCAAAGAACCCTTTCCCTGCGCCATGAAATATTGTCGGACCCTCGAAACTTTCGTCAAACATGCCGACCCATACATTAACTAAAAGTTAATAATATTAATTGCAATGACCACATAAACTGAAGGACGTGCAACTATTAAAAGCCCTAATAGCCAGGTCTACCGCATTTACCGCATATATCTAAAAGATGCTTGAAGTAGGCATAAGGCTTCTTTTTCAACTTTATTGGAAGCTTTAAAAGCTGTTTTGTCATCCTACGTATATTATATTACAAATTTAGAAATTATCTCACTATACCTACGACAACAAAAATGAGTAGGTATAACCTATTTATTCAAAGAGAACTTGAGAAAGTTACGAAAGTGTTATTTTCCTCTAAAATACGTTGTGTGAACAGTTTATTTGGTTAACTACGTGTATTAAAAGAAGTGCACTTCCAGAAGTGGAATTCAACCGCAAAGTAAATCCATACGCCGAAAAGTTTTCAGAAAATTGGATTAGGGGCAATTGGCGGTAAAAACTATATGGCGCCCTATAGAAACTCGAGGAACTGTTTTGCGGTGAAATGAATAATTAGATTGAAGTTCGCATTCTACCAACTCCGAGAATTTCCCACCGCTAAATATCCTACCGACTAATTGCGTACACAAAGTAACAAACAAGAAATCACTAGTTAGGTGTACTCTTGTTTTGCCTCCCTTCGAACTTTCCGCGGCAGGTATAGGGTACAAACGTTTCTACTTTTAACTTCGAAGGATCCTCTTAAGTTTATTCCTGGGAAACAATCGCTTGAGCAAAATCCTTTAAATTAGTCCCACTGTTTCTAATCTGGATACCTATTAAAGTTTTTAATCAAACCTAAACTGGCAGAAGAGCCTTTATTAGGAGGAAACTATATTGATCTTTTCAAAATTCATTTCAACATTTGTTGCTTATTAATTGGAAATATTTCAATATTCACATAGCATGTTTAATTCATAGGTAAAATCGCACTTGAGAGTTTCTGATAAATTTGGAAATCACCTCATGGTTTTCGCTCACTAAATTCTTCTTTTCATCTATTGGAGACATAAAACACTTTGAGGTGAAAGCGAGTTTGCTCAATTTACCTTTTCTATTGATCCTGATTGGATATAATTAACCGGACCTGAAGGTGTACCTTGTTAATTTTCAACCTCTGCGTTCTACTAGTCCTAAGTAATTAAACAAACAAAGTCCAATGTTAATCAACAACCCTTCTATTTACCCTATTTGAGATAGATGAAAAGAATATTAATTTATCAATCTCGGTTTGATGTTTGAGTAAATTTAGGTAGAAATTATTCGTTTCATTTTCTTCTATGCGTTGAAAGATTTTATTAAATTAAGTGACCGAAAAGAGAAGTCTAAACAACTGAAGGTCAATTTCCGTTTTCCCAATATGGCTACAAAACGGAAACAGTGCCAAAACTTTCAAATCTTGAGTGAGTAGCTACACTAAGTAAACGTATGGAAAGGCATTAGGATAGTTGAAAACAAACAGATTTAAAGTCTCCTTTTTATTATGATTCACTTACTTTTATTGGCATCTAGCTGGTTTATCGACAAAGAAAATACCGTACTGCAAACAACAGCAAATTTTTCAAAAACTGAAATAATCCCAGCTAAATGCGGCGATTGAATAAAATCTGCAAATTTCAATCCGAACGTATTTCCGAAGGGTCGTTTACTCGAAGAAAAATCGACTAGATCGACCCGGCGGCCATTTGGATAAGGCCCTTTTCTCATCAGCTAAATTTCCGACGAGATTATCTCGGATACAAAACTAATAGTTAACTATTAATACCGATTGCGGAAAATAGAGACTGCAATAACAATAACCGAAGACCGAAGACTTTTGTTAGGAACAACAGCCAAAAAAGAATGCGTAAAAAATGGCCGGCATTAAGCGAAATGGAAAGCATTAGGAAGAAAAGACGAGGCGAAGGCAGGCAGTGTTTGTACGAGGTGCCATTAAAATATTACCAAATGAATTCGCTAATACGACTACTTTGTTAATATAGTTAATTTAGTAAGTTCTAGTGAACTACATATTAATATTTTTAGTAAACTCTAGCCTTAACTATCAATTTATTGCAAAAATTGCGACTTATTATTTACAAAGCAAATTACAT